AAGATTAGTTTTTTTTTTTTGTTAGGGGTAGTAATTACTACTTACTTCTTAAGTCAAAACTTCTTTAGATTCTTTTTGTCAGTTCAAATCTTGTTCCTTGGTGATATGTTACCGAAACAAAACACAAAGTGCTTAAAGTACTTTTCGCCAACAATGTTGGCATCTTCAGAAGCGAAGTGTAACTAAATCTAAATGCCAAATCTACCAAATTTATACTAATTATTATAGTTTATCAAACCCTGGACCGTCATCGCTTCAGTGAACACGTAAAGAGAAACTAACAAACTCTAGTTGGGTACCGGTCCGTTATCGATATTTAAACATTTATTTCTATTCTTATAGATATATAAACTTTTATAACTATCTAGTAGGCATAAGTTTAAGGTTGCCAAATCCTATTATATGACCATCATCAAGTATGTGTTGAGCAACACTCGATTTCTGTGTCCTATCAAATCTAGAGAAACCGAATGTTGCTCAACATCCGCTCGTTTTCTCTGTTCTACAAAATCTAGCACTTGGCCAATGCTAGATTTTGTAGGACAGAGAAATCGAGTATTGCCCAACAAATACTTGATGATGGTCATAGAATAGAATTTGACAACCTTAAACTTATTAAGGAAGTTAAGGAACCAAGTCTGCTAGATAGTTATGAAGGTTTATACGTCTATAAGAATAGAAATAAATCTTTGAATAGCGATAACGGACCGGTACCCTAGTCTAGTTTGTTTAAATTAGTTTGTTAGTTTCTCTTTACGTGTTCACTGAAGCGATTACGGTCCAGTGTAAGTTTACGGTTCTGTCAACCTTAGCTTATAATTAGTATAAATATGGTAGATTTAGCATTTAGATTTAGTTACACTTCGCTTCTGAAGATGCCAACATCGTTGGCGGAAAGTGCTTTAAGCAATTTGTGTTTTGTTTTGGGGAATATTTCTAATATTTGTTTAGGTCAAATTTTGTTTAAGTTGGAAAAGAAACTTATTCTTTATTTAAAGATTAGTTCCTTTACATCGTTTTTGTAGGAAACGTAGGTCAAAACTTTTTTAGATTCTTTTTGTCAGGTCAAATATTGTTTAAAGTTGGAGATGGAACCTATTCTTTATTTAAAGATTAGTTCTTTTACTTCGTTTATGATAGGGGTATTCTTTTTTAAAGATCAGTTTTTTTTCTTAGGGGTCGTAAATCAAATTTTTTTTTAGATTCTTTTTGTCAGCGCAAATCTTGTTTAAGTTGGAGATGGAACTAATTCTTTATTTAAAGATAAGTTCTTTTAGTTTGTTTTTGTTAGGGTCGTAAGTCAAATTGTCATTAGTTTATTTTAAGTTAAATATGGAACATATTCCTTTTTAAAGATCAGTTCTTTTTTTTTTTCTTAGGGGTCGTAAATCAAAATTTTTTTATATTCTTTTTGTCAGCGCAAATCTTGTTTTAAGTTGGAGATGGAACTAATTCTTTATTTAAAGATAAGTTCTTTTGGTTTGTTTTTGTTAGGGGTCGTAAATCAAATTGTCATTAGTTTTTTTAAGTTGGATATGGAAAATATTCCTTTTTAAAGATCAGTTCTTTTTTTTTTCTTAGGGGTCGTAAATCAAATTTTTTTTAGATTCTTTTTGTCAGCGCAAATCTTGTTTAAGTTGGAGATGGAACTAATTCTTTATTTAAAGATAAGTTCTTTTAGTTCGTTTTTGTTAGGGGTCGTAAGTCAAATTGTCAATAGTTTTTTTTAAGTTGGATATGAAACGTATTCTTTTTTAAAGATCAGTTCTTTTTTTTTCTTAGGGGTCGTAAATCAAAATTTTGTTAGATTCTTTTTGTCAGCGCAAATCTTGTTTAAGTTGGAGATGGAACTAATTCTTTATATAAAGATACGTTCTTTTGGTTTGTTTTTGTTAGGGGTCGTATATCAAATTTTTTTTTAGATTCTTTTTGTCAGCGCAAATCTTGTTTACGTTGGAGATGGAACTAATTCTTTATTTAAAGATAAGTTCTTTTAGTTTGTTTTTGTTAGGGTCGTAAGTAAAATTGTCATTAGTTTTTTTGTAAGTTGGACATGCATGGAAGTTATTCTTTATTTAAATATAAGTTCTTTTAGTTCGTTTTTGATAGGGGTCGTAAGTCAAATTGTCATTAGGTTTTTTTTAAGTTGGATATGGAACTTATTCTTTTTTTAAAGATCAGTTATTTTTTTTTCTTAGGGGTCGTAAATCAAATTTTTTTTAGATTCTTTTTGTCAGCGCAAATCTTGTTTAAGTTTGAGATGGAACTAATTCTTTATTTAAAGATAAGTTCTTTTAGTTTGTTTTTGTTAGGGTCGTAAGTCAAATTGTCATTAGTTTATTTTAAGTTAAATATGGAACATATTCTTTTTTAAAGATCAGTTCTTATTTTTCTTAGGGGTCGTAAATCAAAATTTTTTTAGATTCTTTTTGTCAGTGCAAATCTTGTTTTAAGTTGGAGATGGAACTAATTCTTTATTTAAAGATAAGTTCTTTTGGTTTGTTTTTGTTAGGGGTCGTAAATCAAATTGTCATTACTTTTTTAAGTTGGATATGGAACTTATTGTTTTTTAAAGATCAGTTCTTTTTTTTGTTAGGGGTCGTAAATCAAAACTTTTTTTGATTCTTTTTGTCAGCGCAAATCTTGTTTAAGTTGGAGATGGAACTAATTTTTTATTTAAAGATAAGTTCTTTTAGTTCGTTTTTGATAGGGGTCGTAAGTCAAATTGTCATTAGTTTTTTTAAGTTAAATATGGAACATATTCTTTTTTAAAGTTCAGTTCTTTTTTTTCTTAGGGGTCGTAAATCAAAATTTTGTTAGATTCTTTTTGTCAGCGCAAATCTTGTTTTAAGTTGGAGATGGAACTAATTCTTTATTTAAAGATAAGTTCTTTTAGTTCGTTTTTGTTAGGGGTCGTAAGTCAAATTGTCATTAGTTTTTTTTAAGTTGGATATGAAACGTATTCTTTTTTAAAGATCAGTTCTTTTTTTTTCTTAGGGGTCGTAAATCAAAATTTTGTTAGATTCTTTTTGTCAGCGCAAATCTTGTTTAAGTTGGAGATGGAACTAATTCTTTATTTAAAGATAAGTTCTTTTGGTTTGTTTTTGTTAGGGGTCGTATATCAAAATTTTTTTTAGATTCTTTTTGTCAGCGCAAATCTTGTTTTAAGTTGGAGATGGAACTAATTCTTTATTTAAAGAAGTTCTTTTAGTTTGTTTTTGTTAGGGTCGTAGGTCAAATTGTCATTAGTTTTTTTTTAGGTTGGATATGGAACTTATTCAGATCAGTTCTTTTTTTTTCTTAGGGGTCGTAAATCAAAATTTTTTTAGATTCTTTTTGTCAGCGCAAATCTTGTTTAAGTTGGAGATGGAACTAATTCTTTATTTAAAGTTAAGTTCTTTTAGTTCGTTTTTGTAGGGATCATAGGTCAAAATTTTGTTTAAATTCTTTTCGTCAGGTCAAATTTCAAGTTGGATGAAACTAATTCTTTATTTGTTCGCTTTTGGGTAGGACACATATTTTTTAAATTCTTTTCGTCGTTTTAGTCTGTTTTAGATAGTGATTATCCTATGGAACCAGGCGCCCAGGAGTTTCCTATAAAACCCTCCTTTTTATTCCTTCCATTTAGACCCATTTTAGTTCAATTTCACAATCTTCAGGTTGTTGAATTAAATTAAAATGGTAGATGGATCTTGAAAGTACTTTCTGGATTTTGTCTCGGAACATCGGTAATCCGTGCTAACCCGTTTTTAACGTGGAGCATGTTGTTGCGCACCGGCGCTAATCTATTTGTAACTTAATTATCTGTCGTTTTCCTTTTCTACCCTTCCTATTACCCTAATTCCTTCATCTGGACCTGACATGGACATCTTGGACTTCTTGGAACTTCAGGGTGCGAGTGAATCTTCTATGCGAGTATGTATACAACCAGTATATTTGTTTTTTTCGTGTTTTTGTTTAATTAAATACTTTATCTGTTTTAGGAAATTTTAGGTACATAATATGATAAGGAGGGTGGAGGGTAACTCCGCCAGGTATTTTTAACCTGCCGGTCCCAAGCCCGGATAAAGGAGGAGGGCCCCCACTCTTTTCTATTTTTTTTAGATTGTTTTCGTCGGGTCAAATCTTGTTTAGGTTGTAGATGGAACTTAGGTGGTTTTTGTCAGGTTGGAACTTTTTCTTTTTTAAAGATCAGTTTTTTTATTTTTTTTTAGTATAGACTTCCTATGTTTACCTTGTTTAGGTAGGAAATTGAACGTTTTCATATTTTAAAGATCAGTTCTTTTGGTATGAACTTAATACTATAAAGTACATAAGTCAAATCTCTTTTAGGCAGGGTTCCCAGACCGCAATATGACGTCTTAATTAAGTCTGCATAAGCTCTATTTTATGATTTGGACTTCAAATACAACATCAGAAAGAAGTTTTTAAGAAGTTCTTAAGACTTCGAATGCGCCACCTATTGAACTAATCAAGACTTCTCAAAAAAGAACTCTTGAGGAACCCTTTTCTTTGACTTCGCAGTTTTAAAGAGTCTTACTGTATAGACTTATAAAAAGACTTCTTTGGAATTTCACGTTTTGGATATAGAAGTAATACTTACAGATTATAAAAGTACCTACTACAAAAAAATTCTTGACACAGTTATTATGTAATTAGTTTTATAAAGTGAGGTTAAACCCGCCTGAAAATGTCAGATATCAGATAAAATGTCAATTAAAATTTGACAATGATGAACCTTAAAATTTACAAAAAGTAACTAACATTAAATAAGTTTGGTAGATCAAAATTTGTCAGCAAACTCAACCTCTACATATTTTCGACCATCCCTCGTACACGTCACATAAAACGTACGTCCGAACTGACACCGTCCTCTTATTTATACCTGTCAGGCAAAACGTCATTTCCAAATTAAGGAGGTAAGTAAACAACAAATCTTTCGTAAAATTACGAAAAACAAAAACAACCGAAAATAAACCCGAAAACGAAACGTCTCGAAAATGTTGCGACAACGTCTAATCGAAAAACGCTCACCGTACGGAAAACATAACCTCAAAAGTGAAAAAGAATCCGATAAACCCATTATAAGTGAATGGAAATTGGGATTGTGTGGATTAATATCGTCAATAGTTATTATTTTGGCGAAAATATACTTTCAAAACCGTAAGTATTACATAAATATGACAAGATATGGTTAAATGTAGGTTAAGGTTATTTTTGACAGTTACACAGTGTTTTGTTTATTTTAGAGGCGTACTTGCATCAAGTATTCATAGAAAAAAGACTGATAACCTACGAAATAATAACAGAAGATGGACAATTAATGTTCAAAAACACTTTTGAAAGTGCTTGGAAGTACAGCAATATATGGCTACCTATTTTATGTGGGTTTTTAACCACATATTTTACATGGAGTATGGTTTATTTGGACTCTAATGTACCAGGAATCCAACCACCCAGCCCTCTATCGCCCAGTAAATACAGGTAATTGAGAAATGTCATATTATTTGACTTTAAGTGTTATTCTAATTATTTGTTTATTTACAGGGTGCAGTCTGGACATTCTTTTCATTTGAACTACGTTTTTGCCATAGCTGTTGGATTTTTAGTAACATCTTACATGTACTGGAATGGAGTATCCTTACATCATTAAACTATGTAGTTGTGCTTGAGAATATATTGTTACTAATACCAAATGAACTGGGAACATCACTTTTATTATTTTGAGTTTTTTGAGGGTTTAAAACAGTATTTATGGTGACAGTTACCGTTTTTGGCATCTAGATCATAATTTTTATTGATTTTGACTTAATTGATATTGTATTGAATCTAACAAATATTTATTGTAATATTTAATAATTTATTTTTAACATATTTTTATATTAATGCAGCTTGAACAATTTATACAATATATTTTTTACAATATAACAAATAAATAATTTATTGAAGAAAAAATCGTTTTAATTTTTTAATGACCCCCGTAATTTTTTTACCAAATATTGTGCAATTTTGCATAGCAAAGCACGTTTTATTAAAGCTCCTTCAGTACATCCAAAACATTTCTTGAGTAAAGATTATATTTTTTAGATAATTATATGATGGAGTCAACAAATATTTTTGACAAAAAGTTCCAAAAATTAATAGACGAAACTGTTAAAGTGATTCAACTCGAAAAAAACGATACAGGCAAGTCAAATAAAAAACAAAATTAACGCATAAAAACAATTAATAATTTTTGAGCAGATTTTAAAATCGAGAGACCGCACTTTCATGCGGTCAAAGAAGAGACCGAAAAATTATCTTGTTCGTATTGCAAAGTAAAATTCGACGATTTAATTCAACAAAGGGAACATTATAAGTTGGATTGGCACAGATACAACCTAAAACAATCGCTAGTTTCCAAACAACCAATCAGCGAGGAGGAATTTTTCGAAAAAAATGATAGAGGTAGTTTTTGAGTTTTTTGGTAATTTTTGTTTTTACTAATATTTTAGATGGTGTATCGAGTATATCGGGGTCGGATTCTGAAAAAGAAGACACTATAGATACTCTTGCGACTGCTCAAGGCAAAATATTTTTGCAGAATGACTCAAAAACCGTATTTTCACTGTATAGGTGTCTAATATTAGAAAAAAAGGTACAATATATTCAATATAAAATATATCAACTCAGACATTTTTCTTTTGTTTTAAACAATGTAGGAAGAAATTACAGAAAAAAACATTCACTACCGTTTAAAAGAAACCTGCATTAACAATACCCAGTGGTGCATTCTAATGTTAGGTGGGGGCCATTTTGCAGGGGCAATTTTCCAAAATAACGCGCCAATTTTGCACAAAACTTTCCATTGTTATACCGTTAGAGCTGGACAGGGCGGTTCTCAATCTTCTAGAGATGGGCGCAGCAATTCTCAACCTAAAAGCGCAGGGGCTTCCCTGAGGCGTTACAACGAGCAGGCCTTGATTCAGGTGATATTTTTTCGTTCATTTTGTTGGTAATATGCGAAGGTTTGTTTTTTTAGCATGTTAAAGGTATTGTTGAAGTGTGGAGTGAAGAAATAAAGAAATGTAGCTTGATTTCGTATAGAGCTTCAGGTCCCTATAATAGAGCGGTTTTATTTGGTGGAAATGCCCCTCTATTGGACAGAGCTGACCCTAGGTTGAGAACTATACCATTTTCTACACGTAGAGCGACTTATACTGAAGTCCAAAGGGTCTACAATGTCTTAACGTCCATACAGATATATGGTCTACATTTTGATTTTGATGTAGACTTAAACTTACATTTTTAATATTTTAGAGTCCTTGGATGAAGCCCAGCTTCATTTCGGCAAACAAAAAACCCCGGAAACTGATCCTAAGAAAGCTAGAGCCAAGTCCGCTTGCATCAATAGAGCTAAATCCAGGGAACGCGTGGATAGACCTCTTCCAGTTGAAGAATTATCCGATTCTTCCGATTGTGAAGATTTGAACGACTCAACATACGAAATTGTTGAGGAGACGGTGGACTTTAAAGAGCTGCTGGAGGGTTTGGAGGACACGCGTGTTTTTGCGAAGAAAAGCAAAAAGAAGAAACCGAAGAAAAGTAAAGCGAAAAAGTTGCGTGAGAAGACGGAGCTTTATAAAAAGAAAATTCTGGACGTTTTGTTTCAAGGAAACCTTGTTATACTCAAAGAAAAACTTGAGGAGTACCTCCATAAAGACCAAAACGAAGATAATGAAGAAAAACCTTCTCCAGAGCAACTTAAAAACGACTTTTTCAATGAAATTTTGGACGATTCTGGTAACAGTCTTCTACATGTCGCTGCTTTGAATGAACATGAAGAAATTATGGAATATTTGCTGCAAAATGGCGCTGATCCTTGCAGAAAAAATAAAAATCAACACACGGCTTATACGTGTACACAAAGCAAGGAAATCAGGGACGTACTAAGGAAATTTGCTAGGGACAATCCAGAAAAATACAACTATAATAAAGTAATGTTAATAAATAGTTTATTATGTCTTAATGTATTTTTTTAGGCACAAATACCCATAAATACATTAACGGAGGACGAAATTGCTGACAAAAAAAGAAATCAACGAAAACTGAAGAGAGAAAAGGAGAAGGAAAAGAAGAAAGAGAATGAAGTGAAGAAAAAAGAACAACACGAAAAAGATCGTTTCTTACAACTAAGCGATAGAGAAAAGGTTGGTAAAAAATTAAAAACCCTAATTATAACCTTCAACAACAACTTTTACATTGCAGAGGGCGCTGGCTGCCGAAAGAAGGATTTTAAACCAATCAGGAGTCGTGATAAGCAGATGTTTCCTATGTGCTTCTGATATGTCGGGTAAAGTTCCGTTTGAGTACTTGGGTAACCGATTTTGTAGCATAGATTGTCTTAAAGCCCATAGGTTGCAAAGTCCTTTAGTTTTGTCGTAATAAAAATAACTTAAAATAAAACACTCGTTTTTTTACACTTTTTATAGGATAAAACTCAATAAATAAAACATTATCAAAATCAACTGACATTAAAAATAGTTTAAAATACAAACACAAATAAAATTAATATAAAATTATCAAAATAACAAAAAGGCAAGTTCTAATATAAATACGTAACTGATTTTTTATCACAGCCTAATATATGTAAATAAAACGTGATTATCTTTAATTTGGCTCAAGTTATTGCAAATCAATATAAGTGATGTCAAAATTCTGTACAAAAAAATGGAAGAGTAGGGAAGAACAAAACAAAATATTGGTAATTTTTTTCTAACATTTAAATAACATTTTTTGTATAGAAATATTTCAGCCTATATTTTCCTTCTTGACAGCAATTAAACGTTCATTTTTTAGTTATTTTTGTATAAAACCATCAACTATTAAACTACACATAGAAAAAATCCCTTGAAATATGGGACCTCACACCTATTAAGAAATATAACAACAGCATCAATAATAATAAACTTTTGTTTTCTTTAAGTTGTGTAAATTTTTAAACAGACTAGATAGTTTTTAATACGGCCCTGCACTATTTATCACTCACATTTTTTCATAAGAAACATTTTTCTTTACTCTGGTAACTTTGGATTCATCACAGGGATTATAAAATCTTCCATATTTGGAATCACCATTATTTTCTAAAACACTTTATTCAAATCCCAATCTTTACCTTTTTTAAAATAACTGACCTGGAATTCTTGCAGTAATTTTTTCTCAATCCAGCTGGTAACGTACATAAAAGTAATATTCCGCTCCCCCACTATGGGTTGAGCAGACAATATAATATCAGGGGTGGGCCTAAATCCAACCCAAATTCTATCGCTTGGCGGAGTGGGCATGTTTAACACCATGGTACCTATTAGCGACCTCATTTCCACTTTCAACCGTAAATCGGTGTTGGAAACTCCTAAAAGTGATTTGAATGCGTATAACTCCGGATTTAGTTGGGTTAGAGGGTTGGAATTTGGAGGGCGATAAAAGAACGTCGCCTGTAATCCTTTTCCCAAATATTAACCTTGCAGGTGTCATAGTTTTGATGATGGTGTAAGTGGAAAAATTTTAGGCGACATTTTGTTTTTAGACCTACAGTCTTAAAATTTCAGGTGTACTTTGAGATACAAATTGTTAAGAAATATCAAAAATCGCAACGTTCTATTTTTAGCAGGTTTTGAGTTTAATTTAATTGTATAAACTCTAAATTTCCCTGGGTTAGAATGTTGAAATTTGGAGGGTGGTAAAAGAATGCCGCCTGTAATACTATTAAAATATTAAAATATTAACCTTGCAGGTGTCATAGTTTTGATGAAGGCGTAGTGGGAAAAAATTCGGGCGACATTTTATGTTTAGACCTACAGTCTTAAAATTGTAGGTGTAGTTTAAGATACAAATTATTAAGAAATATTCAAAATTTCAACGTTCCATTTTTAGTAAATTTGAGGTAATAAATTTAATTGCATATAAGTCTGGATTTATTTGGCTTGGAAGTTTAAAATTTAGAGGGGGGTGAGGAAATGTTGTCTAATGGAATGTGTCTTAATATTAACCCTGTAGGTGTCATAGTTTTGATGATGGTGTAGTCGGTAAAAATTTTGGGCGACATTTTGTTTTTAGACCTTTAGTCTTAAAATTTTAGGTGTAGTTTTAGATACAAATTATTAAGAAATATCCAAAATTTCAACGTTCTACTTTTCGTACTTTTTTGGGTTATTAAATTTGATTGAATATAACTGGATTTTTTTGGGTTAGAAGGTTAAAATTTGGAGGGGGGTAAGGAAATGTTGTTTGTAAGAATGTGTCCCAATATTAACCCAGCAGGTGTGATGGTTTTGAAGATGGTGCTTTCGGGAAAAATTTCGAGCAAAATTTTGTTTTTTGACCTACAGCATTGGAATTCTAGGGGTAGGTTAAGATACCAATTATTAAGGAGTACAGGTTATATTTGTAGTATTTTACCTTCCATAGCCTTTTTGATGAGCCTATTTTCTGTGGCGGCCTGGAAAAACCTCGATTCTGTAATTTTATCGACCATTTTTATGAACTTTTTGCCACCTGAGTTTCCTGCTTCAGCGTTTGTTTGTATTTCACTTGGAGCTTCCTCATCAGAACTGCTTTCAGCGGAATCATCCACATCTGAATGATATATGGCTGATTTCACCTCTCCCAAGGTTTTATCTGTAAGAAAAATTAGCCTAGATTTAAATAAAACTTGTAACTTACTTACCATTTGCATGTGGGTTCTTCAATTTCATCAAATTCAACTTTGTTTGTAAGGTGAGTACAATGGAGCCTTCATAGGTCAAATCCAAGTCAACCCAGAGACCTCTTTCGTCCAAAATGGGTTTGGCCGCTTTATGAATGATGGGGGAAGTCTTGCCCAATGATAATTCAGTAACTAGGAGTTCTTCAATGAAGTACGGCAACTTAATGGAACTCAATTTTCGTTGGATTCTATTTTGGACTTTGCGGGTGAAGTTTGGATCGTGCATGCAATCGAAGAGGACTCTACCGATTAGGGCGTTCAGCCATAGTACCAAGTCGAGTCTGGGTTCTTCCAGAGGTTCTTCAGGAGTGTCCGCATCCTTGTCCTTTGCTTTTCCGTTCGATGATTTTTTGGTCTGCAATAAAAACGACTTAGATCTTAGCTGTTATTGGATTAGTAGAGTGGGATGTAAGGATTTAGGACCTGGGATTTTTTGGCGGGGCTTCTTAGAAACCTTCGCACCTTGCTTATGAACACTTGCATGTACTTGTTGTACTCGTTTTCCATTGAGTTTTCAACTTCCTTTTCCTTGGAGTCTTCGTTTTTGTCTTCCACGTATAAGTTGGACTCGTGATGGGTTGCTGCACTAAGGCGCCTGAACCAATCCTCCTTCTCGCGATCGGTACGACCGAAAATGTAGATTTTGTTCTCTGTAGGACTGTCCTAAAATATATTTGAAATGGTAGAATTTGTTTGTTTTATTGATCGTATTATTACATCAGGTGTCGCTGATGATTCGTTATTCGAGGAAATGATGTCAAAGTCGATTAAATCTTCATTCAACTTGCTATCAACTTGTTCGTCTTGAGGAAGATCCTAAAACGCACCAAAATGTGAGAAAAAAATCCCTTAAACTATACAATATAAGTAATACCGAAAAATCTGGTGATGGCGAGCTAGCTCTGGAGTCGCTCTCAAGATCGTAATCTTCTTCAGTTAACTTACTAAACCTTTGTGCCTGAAACAACCAAAGTTAGCAGAGCACCAACAAAAAAAACACAAATATCCAAACCGGCAGATGAAATTCCTTTTTCTTGAACATAAACCCAATCTTCTCCTTTTTCTCCACAACCTTTTCCTTCTCCTCTTTCCCCCCGCTCTTATTGAGCTCGTCGTCCTCCTCCGACTCCAAGCTGTCGAAATGCATCTGATCTTTGCTGAGAGCGACGCAAATCGGGTATTTCTTGCTCCAGTGCCTGATTTTGGCCAGACCTTCGGGCATCAGGGACACCTTGGCGCCCAGCAGGTTGTATATCCTGTGGTGGATCAGGTTGGCCTTGATCTCCGGCTCGTTCCACATGGCCCTCTTGGGAACCTTTTGTTTGGCGTGGCTTATCCGCAGCAGGCTGCCCTGCAACCTCAGGTAAGCCGATTGAGTTTTGGAGATGTGGTAGGTGATCGGGCTGTACGAGTCGGGATATTCGTTTATCCAACCCTCGAACTTGGTTAGGGGTTGGTACTCCTTCACAGCCGGTATCTCCAAGATATTTCTACCCCCAATAAAATCCATGGTAACTTTTTGCGGATGATAGTTGGCGACGCTTTTCGAGAGCTTTTCTGTCAAAAAATGTATGGCTCCGCCCACAAACAGACCCAGCATCAAGCCGGCGAAGTAGGGCCAATAGGAATGCAGGGCGGCGTAGAGCGCAACCGCCAGACCAATGAGAACGTAGTACGTGGTGTTGGTTTTTGTTTTTCGAGTTTTTGGAGGTTCGCGGAGGTCGACGTGACCGGTAGGCGCGAAAATTACGCTCGACTTTTCATTGGTCAAGTAGTTTTGTCGGATTTCTTTACCGGTGACCTCTTTTACGGTCACTACGTTGTCCTTGTCCACTTCTATGTTGTCTATCTTATCTGACACGTTTTTTATTATGTCTGTGTTGGTTAACTTGATGTCGTCACTTTTCGTTTCCACTTCGAAGTCGTCGAAGGCTTCGACAGCGCTTTCGACCTCCTCTGCGTGCTCCGGTAGAGCTTGATCGACTTTTTCAGCGTTAATGTTGTAAATTTTGGATAGAGAGTTAACGTGTAACGTCCCCTCTTTGGGACCGGTTTTCCTCAGGAACCTGAATCTCTGGGAAAAAGCGTGCGGTATTTTCTTTTTCTTTTTTTCCTCCTTTTTGTCCTTTTCGATAGATGGCGTGTCGTCGTCACTCGACATTTCTGCGCCTGCGCCAAACGAAACAATGAACTAAATATTTAGAAATATCTACGAATTCTATTTATCATATCAATATCAGTATTAATTTAGATTTTATTGCAAAAAATCATTTTTTCGTGAAAAATATTAATTTTATGGCATAAAATATGAATTAAAAAAAAGTTTATAGTTAATTTACAAAATTTAATTATTTTAGTAGAGATTTTAGTTTTATTGCAAAGAAATAATTTCTTTTGAAAAATATTAATTTTATGACATAAAATAAGAATTAAAAAAAACCTTCACTTGGACTTTTTTTGTTTAATTTTATTGTATTTGTATTTATATTTATTTTATTAAGTTTATGGTTAATTTAAAAAAAATATTTTTATGGAAATTATTGAAAAAAAATTTTGTGAAAAATATAAATTTTATGACAAAATAAGAATTAAAAAAATATCTCCACTTTTGTTTAATTTTATTGTGTTTCTTCTGAAAAGCAATTTTATTCGAATTCTATTTATTATATCAAGTTTATACTCAATTTACAAAATTTAATTATTTTTATGTAAATTTAAGTTTTATTGAAAAAAATCATTTTTTTGAAAAAATGTTAATTTTATGACATAAAATAAGAATTAAAAAAACTTTTTCATAACTTTTTTTCTTCAAATTTTATTGTAAAAATTGTTTTTCTCGTTCTGAAAAGCAATTTTATTCTAAGACAGTTATTATGTTGGTTGGTAATTTTTTCTCAAAACTCAGTGTTGCCAATTGCGGTGTAATTTACTGACTGCGGGGTAATTTGATTGTAATTTTACAAGAATCATAAATAATTTTTCTATTTTTTTTAATGGTTTATTGGCGTCATCAATTTAAAATGTCAAAAAGACATACGTGCGGCATACGTATAGAAAGAAAACAGCAAATGTCTGTGCTTTGTTCACAAATTGCTGACGCAATGTGAAACATTCAAAAAATAGACTATATGACTCTTGTTTTTTTTCTGTACTATAATTGATTTTTTATAACTTGACCCCTAAGTCAACCCCAATTTTACAAAAAAAATCCTTGCTTCAACACAAACGTCTCACCTTGAAATTTAAATACAAAAAATTAAGGTTATCTATCTGTCAGTTTAACGGTAATTTCGTCTTATTTTCTAAATATATTACAATATACCTTTGGATTGTGAACTAAGACCTTCATATAAAAAAATATATTGTATTATTTTCAGAAAATAGGACGAAATTGGCGTTAAACAGATAGATAATCTCAATTATTTCTATTAAAATGTCAATGTTGGGTGTGGAGCATAGTACCTTTGTAACAAAAACATTAAAATATATTTTATTATTTAAATACTTAAACCTTATCAAATGATAAGGTTTGAGAATTTTAATAATATTAATATATTCAAATCTTGTAATATTATAACAAACTATATCATATGATAAGGTTTAATTATTAAAATATTCAAACCTTATCATATGATAAGGTTTAGATATTTTAATAATAAAATATTTATTGTGTTATTTTTAAGCATTAAGTTTTTTTGACACTAATTGCATTTTTTATTTCAGTGTTTTTGTAAAATGTTTTTTTAATAAAAACCTAAAAAACACTCAAAATTTTTAGGTACTTACTTTATAAAGCAATTTTTATTGCGGTGTAATTTAGACAACATCTATTGGCAACACTGGCAAAACTGTTGGGAGGCGCCGTTTTATTTTTTATTCATTATCATTATTTTTATATGTTAACACTAGAGTGATATTTTCAATTAAATAAAAAATATCACATACAAATTTTTATTCTGCAAATTAATTATATCATAGCAGATGTTTTAAAATTAGATTTAATTTTTATACCAAACTGATATTTTTAATTTAGTGCATTTAAAATAGGTACCTGTTTCTTATATTTGTGATTTTTTGTTAAACACACTCTTTTAAATCAGCTAATTAAAAATTAGATATAATTTGTATGCCAAACTGATATTTTTAATTTAGTTGAGTTAAAATATTTGTAAATGTCTACCTTTACTTAACAATAAAAATGGGAAAATTGTATGAGAACAAAAATATAAAAATACAATTGCATTATGTAAATATCCTAATTCATAATAGTATACTATTACCTATAGGTAATTGTCATTCTAAAAACTAAGATTTCTAATTTTACTATACTTTTTAATAGTAAACATTTAGTAAATTTACCTACCATTATTTTTAACAGTAAAGTCATTGTCTAAGAATTTTACTATACCTTCAGTAGTGGAATTTATGCCACAAGTCTTTGAAATACTGCTTTCAGACAAATCCTCTGAATCTGACACACTGGAATTCTCCTTACTGTCCTTAACAGAACTTTTTTTTAATGGAGAACCTTCATCCTGGTTCCTAGACTTAATTTCAGTTATTTTTTCTTCCACACTCTTAGTAATTTTACCCTAAACAAACACCACAAAACATTTAACCAAACTGTTAGTTATTAATCAAAGTAATTTTTACCCTGATATCGCTTAAAAACCGCCAGGGGTCGCTTGGCGGCGACGAATTCTCCAAAGTTATAGGTTGTGGAGATACATCGACACTTGTGGACCTTTTTCCAAGCCGGTTTAAATACTTAAAAGGGCTGCTATCGAAATCGTTTGTACTTTTACTTTCAGCTGCACTATGAGATGTAGCCTCATCATCACTGGCATATAGCTCCTCTATTTGCTCTGCATTTGCATGGAATTTTACTGTTATGCTCGGTACTGACGTCGTCATAGGTTTTCCTTTATTTTATTAAAATTATTGATTAGATAATGTTATGATATGAAGTGCAAGAGCAAACTATTATATTCATAAACTTGTTTGCTAGCAAACAATTAAATTAGATTGTTGGTTTAATAATATGTTTGAGGTAAATATCAAAGGTTATAGAAAACTTGATAGTGAACAGGAAACCCCCTAATTATAACCTTCAATTCTTTGTAATATAAGGTAAGGTGGGGTAATTGTAAGATTGGGGTAAATGTAACATCTTGCGATAAAATTCTTACTTGAAGTAGTAAATAAAAGCAAACGAATAAAAACGCACGCTGTTGTCTTGAGTTGCATATCTAAGTAGAGAAATCCCGACAACTACTGCGCAGTACCACTTGGTTACTTAAGTACATAATAATAAATCATTTTTTCCTTTTTGTATTAACCGCGAAGTCTGTTAATTCTTAAATAAAAAATAAAAAATAGTTTACACACCTTATGATTATTAACGGATTCACGCGATTTTATACCAAAATAATCCTATTTTTTTCCTCTTTTACATTAGCCCCATACCCACTACAAATACATTAATAGGGTAATGTAATTAGCCGCTAACACATTTGCCCCATTTTTCGGGGCAAATGCAATATGTTAGGAACGTTTAAAAAAAAAGATGTAATTTTTTAGCCCTTAGTTTCTAACGTTTTATACTTTAGAATATAATTCTCGAGTAGTTGGGCTATATAATGAGCTTTGGATTTGGTTTAGTTTTATCACTCCTTACTTTTAATTCAAGAGACAATGCCAACTAGTAAAAAAACATATCGCAATTACCCCACCTTACCTTAATAGCAAATTGCCTAATTAAAAACCAAAAAGTGCAAATGACATATTTACGTGCAAAAGCGATAAAATTAGTAAAAACACGACACGACATATACCTTTTTACCTTTTAACATGCCCAAAGTCACTTTCCCATCTTTTTTCTTTGCTTGACTCATTCTGTTATTATTTAGCATACACTACAGCCTAAGTGTTAGTAACAATATAATACTTTAATATAAACAAATTCTGCAATTATTAGTGTAAATTTTAAAGCTGTTGGTTGTTATTTCTCAAACACGTACCTTTTTCCATATTTTTCTTTGTGCAACTTTCGAAAGGTCACGATATTCACCAATAACATTTGTGTTGCACTCGAAATTCGACCTGTTTTACAATTAACGTAGTTTGTTGACTCTGCTCATGGCAAAATATTTACAAATCACAGTTTAGTAATAAAATAAACAATTTTGAAGACGTTGTTTTGACAAGTGCGATTTAATGATTACTGTCAAAAATCATCATTACCAACATAACCATTACCAACTGCGAATATAGTGGGGTAAATAAAACACCAAAAATAACGCAAAGACCTATTTATTACTCATATTTAGCTTATAATTTGACTTTTTCACTCAATATAATCTGCAAATGGCTTAAATGACGCACAAAAGGGTTAATTCTTCCGTGAGCCCTGTAAGTCCTCCGAGTTACAACAGGAGCTTGATTTACTTGAATATGCTGGATCATAAAATCCGCAGGATCTTTCCCGAAGTAATCGCAGTTAGAAACAGCATTCCTCAACAACATTTGAAGGGCTTTGATTGATTTGACCGGCCAACGTCCCTACATAAAAAATATTACAGTGGTTTTTATCGGTTTTTTAAATAAAAAATCTTACAACTACAGTCTTGAATTGTTTAGCTTGTCCGCATTTCCCAATTCCGCTCTTGAATCGCCTGAAAGGCACGCAAACTTTCCGAGCTAGCACGTTTTTCATGTAATTTTCGGCTTTTTGAACTGAAAGACCTTTAAGTTGACGTGCTGCCTCAACGGTGTTTTTAAAGTGCACTGGAACATTAGAGGCTTTGGCTCTAACCACTTCTCCAACGTTATATTTCACGGAATAATGACAACTATCACCGCGCGCCATTTTTACAAGAATATAAATGACATGTGTTTAAATCGCCCGCTATGATTTTTAAGACGAGAATAGTACGGATATTAAATGATAGATGTCGCTTTTTAATTAAAATGTTTTTAAATCAATATTTTAATATTTAAGTTATTGTTGAGGATAAACAATTATAAAATATAAGAAATAATGCAGTTTTAGTTAAATTTTATGCAGATTTAAACTATATATTAACATTTTTAACTTTGACATTCTGTTTTACAGTTTTCTTTAATATCTGACAGTTCAAAATAAAGTCAACATTTTTGTTGATGACTGGCATTTTGCAAATAACCGGTGATTTTAAGTATTTTTTGAGTAAATAGTGAGAAATTAAAGTGGTAAATAGATTTCTTATTACAATTAAATCATAATTTACCCATTTTTATATAAATTTTCAACATTTTAATTGTATTTTCGGCATATTTTAGGTTATGTAAATGACTATAGCTTTTCTTTGTATTTCAGCTTAAAAATGGAGTCGATAGCAACAGATTCAGGAAAAATCGTCAAAATGGAGGTAGACTATAGCTCTACATGCGACGAGAAGATTCCTGAATGCCAAAAAATGGCAAAATCAGGAAAATTACATGATGCTCTCGATCAACTCTTAGCCTTGGAAAAACAGACCAGAACTGGAGCGGATATGATCTCCACCGGTCGCGTCCTAGTGGCAATCGTGCAAATATGCAGAGAAGCTAAAAACTGGAATGCTCTGAATGAACATATAGTTTTGTTGACCAAACGAAGATCACAGTTGAAACAAGCTGTCACGAAGATGGTGCAGGAATGTTGTACTTATGTCGAGCAAACTCCTGATAAAGAGACAAAAATTAAGTTGATTGATACTCTCAGGCATGTTACTGAAGGTAAAATATATGTGGAGGTTGAGCGGGCTCGTTTGACTCACAAATTGGCCCAAATAAGGGAGGATGAAAACGACATTCAAGAAGCAGCCAATATAATCCAAGAATTGCAAGTGGAGACCTATGGGTCTATGGAAAAACGCGAAAAAGTTGAACTTATCTTGGAACAAATGAGACTGTGTCTTGCTAAGCAGGATTACATTCGCACCCAGATCATTTCAAAGAAAATCAACACCAAATTCTTTGATGATGAGGGCACACAAGACCTAAAACTCAAATATTACAGGCTTATGATGGAGCTTGATCAACATGAAGGTTCATATTTGGCCACTTGCAAACATTACAGAGCTGTTTTGAACACTCCTAGCATCCAGGCTGTTGCTGAAGAAAGACAGAGTGCTGCTCAAGCTGTCGTTTTATATTTGATATTGGCACAACATGATAATGAGCAAGTAAGTGTTTTTCATTTGAACATTCCTGCAAGTGGTGGAAGTTGAGATAGTTTGGTCAGAAGGATGACTGATTTAGCTTTAAGGTGGAGTGTTCTCTATAACTTTAGGTTATAGAGCTTAAAATACTATGAATAAAGGTTTCCGTGTTAGCTTTTCCACATATCCTCCAATATAGCACCAAATGGTAACATTTTAGATAGTTTAGTTGGATGGATGACTAATTTAGCGTTTAGATGACATTTTGATTATACTCCTAGATTATAGAACCCAAGATTCTATGAATAAAGGTTTCAGTGTTAGCTTTTTCCACATCTCATTCTAATACACGAAAATATAGACGATTCATTAGGAGAACAGTTAATTTAGTATTTAGATGTAACACTTATTGTGCCCTGAGATTATAGACCCAATTTACCCCTAAACCACCATAATATAGCACCAAATGGTACCATTTTAGATAGTTTAGTTAGATGGATGACTAATTTAGCGTTTAGATGACATTTTGATTATACTCCTAGATTATAGAACCCAAGATGCTATGAATAAGAGTTTCAGTGTTAGGTTTTTCAACATCTCATCTTCATACACGAAAATATAGATGGTTCATTGAAATGAGTGGTTAATTTAGCATTTAGATGTAACACTTATCATGCCCTGAGATTATAGACCCCATTAATCCCTAAACCACCATAATATAGCACCAAATGGTAACATTTTAGATAGTTTAGTTGGATGGATGACTAATTTAGCGTTTAGATGACATTTTGATTATACTCCTAGATTATAGAACCCAAGATGCTATGAATAAGAGTTTCAGTGTTAGCTTTTTCTACATCTCATCTTCATACACGAAAATATAGATTGTTCATTGAAAGGAGTGGTTAATTTTGTATTTAGATGTAACACTAATCACACCCTAAGATTATAGAGCCCAATATTTTCTAAACAACCTCAATATGGCACCAAATGGTTAAATTTTAGATAGTTCAGTTGGATGGATGACTGATTTAGCGTTTAAATGACATTTTGATTATACTCCTAGATTATAGAACCCAATATTCTATGAATAAAGGTTTCAGTGTTAGCTTTTTCCACATCTCATCCTCATACACGAAAATATAGATTGTTCATTGAAAGGAGTGGTTAATTTAGTATTTAAATTTAACACTTATCATTCCCTGAGATTATAGACCCCATTAATCCCTTAACCACCATAATATAACACCAAATGGTACCATTTTAGATAGTTTAGTTAGATGGAAGACTAATTTAGCGTTTAGATGACATTTTGAATATACTCCTAGATTATAGAACCCAAGATTCTATGAAAAAGAGTTTCAGTGTTAGCTATTTCCACATCTCGTCTTCAAACATGAAAATATAGATGGTTCATTGAGAGGAGTGGTTAATTTAGTATTTAGACGTAATACTTAACATGCCCTGAGATTATAGACCCCATTAATCCCTGAACTACCATAATATATCACCAATGGTAAAATTTTAGATAGTTTAGTTGGATGGTTGACTAATTTGACGTTTACATGACATTTTGATTATAATCCTAGATTATAGAACCCAAGATTTTATAAATAAAGATTTCAGTATTAACTTTTTCCAATATCATCCTTAAACACGAAATTATTGGTAGTTGAGTGGGAGGAGTAGTTAATTTAGTATTAAGACATCGCATAAAACCCACCCTGAGATTATAGACCCTAACACCATTAAATAACACTTCCCAGAATTACCTTTTTCCGAATCACAAACTTTAGTATTTAGTGAAAATCAAAAAATTAAATATTCTTTACTCTTTAAGGCGGATTTGACTCACAGGGTACTAGCTGATAAAATTTTGGAGGAAATTCCAATGTACAAACAATTGCTAAAACTGTTCACTACACCGGAGTTAATTAAATGGTCAGGTTTGTGCGAGTTATACGAAAAACAACTGAAGTCGACCCCCGTTTTTTCCGGTAACGAGCCGGCCAAAAAACGCTGGGAAAATCTCAAGTATGCCTTGTTTGATTTAGTAAATTGGACAAAATTAACGTTTGATATTTTAGGAGTAGAGTCGTCGAACACAATATTCGCGTGATGGCTAAATATTACACCCGCATCGAAATCAAACGTATGTCGGAATTGTTAGATTTATCTCCTGCAGAAACCGAGGAATTGCTCTCGCAAATGGTGGTCAGTAAAAGTGTGCAAGCCAAAACCGACAGGATGTCAGGCGTCGTACACTTCCAACAGGGTAAAGACGCTTCAGATATACTCAACGATTGGGCGCGTGATCTCTCCTCTTTGATGCAATTGGTTAATAAAACAACACACTTGATCAATAAAGAAGAGTGCGTGCACAAACATTTGCAAGCCAATGCCTGAATTTTTCATTAATTTGCGTATAATTTTTTTAAATATAATTAAGTTTGTCTATTCATTGTATTAAATTAAATGATGTAACTTATTTTTTATTTTATTTATCTACCATCTTACGAATTGTATGACAGTATAACCCAACATAACCTATAAATGTCATATGACATTATGATATGACTACTCTAAGCTTGGCCTTCTTTTTTTTATGGCGGTTTTAAATTGGCCAATAAAGTAATTGAATTGTTAAGGTAAATACAAAACAAAGTAATAATAGATTATAATATAAATATAAGTAGGGTAATTATGACCAAATCACATAGATAGATAAACCTATGACCCCAAATTAAATAAACAGAGATAAATAAAAATAAATACAATAAAAATTTATTTAACTATTGTATAGAATATAATCAACTAATAGGTTATAAATATAATAAGTGACTTGATAAGCATAGGTACTAAAAAAGCTTGCATATGCAGTTTTAAATTATCATCATGCAGGTGGTTGATATTTTATTATAAAAACAAAATATTTATGTTATATAAACGTTAGTTTTTGTTGTTTTTTTATGGTAAATTACATAAAAACGCGGTATACTGACCTGGTAAGTAAAAAAAACGTTTTTAACGTGTTAATGAATAAAATACCAAAAAAAGGAAGACAAATTTACTACATAATTAATGATTAATCATTGTGAACTCAGTTTTTTGTTAAAAAACACAAGTTTTTGTTATTTTAACTACTTTGCTCTTTTGCTTTACATTCTAACCTCAAAATGTGAACTCCATTGACGTACAACACCAAGACAAAAAAACCAGAGACTTAAAAATATAGATATCAAATGAATCAATCAATTCGTCGGAATGTTTAATTTAAAGTTTACGACCTTCATGATTGTATTTTTAAAATAATAAATATATAAGTTGCCCAATATTAAGTTAATAAGTCAGTCGCATATTATATTTTAGGTTTTAATATGACGTGAATATAAGACAAACCAAAATGGATTTCATTAAAAAAATTACCGTCGAACCTACTTTGGTTCTTTACATGATGGCATTTATGGTCACCAGTGTCGTGGAGCAGGCTTTTTTCGTACACAAAGCCTGTACTGTGGACCATGGTTACAATGCCACCATTTGTGATAACATCTCAGATGAACAGTACAAAAATATCAGTAAGGAAATACAGGTAACTATCTTTTTCAATGTCGTGGCTGTCGAAAATTTCATCGAAACTGTCAAATTAACGTAAATACTGTCACACAACTGTCAAAAACTTTTTAACATGGCACCAAATTTAAGATGCCATATTCATTACACCCTCACAATATAGAACCTAAAATACTATGTATAATGCTTTTTGTTTTGATTTTTTCAAATTTCATACGAAAATACCCACTGAACATTTTGGATGTGGTGATGTCACAGTGACGTTTAAAAATTGTCAATTTTAAGGCACATTAACTACGTTTTTTAGTGATGTTCAATTTACGTAAAAATTACGCTAAAAAATAAAAGGTGCTGTCGAGCACGTCACTATACCGTCCAGTCTATGCCTTTTATTTTACTTTAGCGTATTAGGTGCAAAACACAACGTACATTTTACGTCACCAATGTGACACATGATAAATATGAATGGGATAGGTTTGCCAATGATAAACATTAAAATATATGCCACATTTACATTTTTGTTGGAAATTTGAGTGTATACTTAAATAATTAAATACCAAATTTAATTCATAATTTTAGATTAAACCAAACCAATGTAAGTAGGTACAATTATTATTTTAATGACTTATTATAAATCCCAGAGTGATTTATTAATTAATATTACCGCTTATAAAATAATAATTATTCTATTATTATCGCATAGTGAGATTAAGAAACGTATATTTTATGTAAAATTTACGTAAAAAAGGACTCGGGTTATTTCGTTTCCAGTCGATATATCGGTATAAAAGGGGCCCTGTAACAGGCATACTCTGTTTGCGTTGCGACTGCCATTGTTCTGTGTCCAACACAGTGTGTTGCTATTTGTTGCTGTGTGATAGAAAACGCATTGTTCTCCATAGGCGAGACTGAACGGTTTAGGTAAGTTGGCTTTATCATTTGTTTGCAACCATACAGTTATAATTTAATTAATTAATTGTCCCAATATCGCCATGATGGCGCTATTAGTGGTTATCGAATTTTGTTGATTTAAATGTTAGCGTTGAGTGAGAAGTAATATTAATCAATGCTGTTAGGCTTAAAGAAAAGTCTTTTAATCAATTTGATTTTTCAGTTAATACACCAGTGAACATGGGAGACAAATTTTGCGCCGAGCGACAGGCAAGTTATATAAGTTTTATATACTTAATTACTTAGATAACTTAAGTTATTAATATTTGTTTTAGAAGCCAGTATAAAATTATTTCGTCTGACTGAAAGTGATTTCGATAAAGAGAGCAAGGAGTTGTTCTAAACCGCCAAGCAACGCTCATAACGTTTTTTGGCCAAATTTGGACATGAGAATGAGGCCGAAAATTAATTAGGCGGTACGTTTTATTTTTATTATTGTTACCGGACTAATTATGTTTAATTTTTATAATTCATTTTAATAAAAAAAAAAATTTCCAAAGTGGTAGTTTTATTTAAAAAAACGTAACTAATAAGTACAAGTGGAAACAAAACCTATACGTCCATAATAAAATGGCATTTTTACGTCCTACGTCTCCTTATCCACGTAAAGGTTAGGGCTAATTCACGGCCCAGGATCCGGACATAGGCACATCACAGCGACGTTTATGTGACGTTTATTTTACAAGATTCTTATACGTCACACTACAACCTTTGACGTCAATTTTACATATATTTTACGTTTTTTTGCTCAGTGGGTATAGATAGTTTTTTGGGAGTAGTTAAATTAGTATTAGACAACACGCCTTAGATATTTTGATCAGATGAATGACTAATTTAGCATTTTAATGGCATGCTGATTATATGTACACGTGTACATATAATCACTTGGATTATAGAACCCTAGAATAGGACTTTTCAGTATAACCTTTTTCCAAATTCGACCCTAAAATGCAAACTTTGGATAATTTAGTGGTAGGGGTAGTTTATTTAGCATCAATACATCATATTTAACCTACCCTGAGATTATAGACCCTAGCAGCCTTAAATAACACTTCTTAGTATTACCTTTTTCCAAATTTGACCTCAGATTACAAACTTTAAATAGTTTTAGTAGGAAGAGTGGTTTATTTAGCATCAATACATCATATTCAACCTACCCTGAGATTATAGACCCTAAAACCATTAAACACTTTTTAGTATTACATTTTTCCAAATTCGACCGCAGATTACAAACTTTTAATAGTTTATCAGGAAGAGTGGCTTATTAAGCACCAAGACATCACATTTAAGCCATCCTGAGATTATAGAACTAAAATAATACTTCCTTGGTATTACAATTTTTCAAATTTGACTCCAAAATACAAACTTTAGATAGTTTAGTAGGAGGAGCAGTTTATTTAGCATCAAGACATCATATTTAACTTACCCTGAGATTATAGACCCTAGCAGCCTTAAATAACACTTCTTAGTATTACCTTTTTCCAAATTCCACCTCAGAGTACAAACTTTTAATAGTTTAGTAGGAAGAGTAGTTTATTTAGCATATAAACACATCCTATTCAACCTACCCTGAGATTATAGACCCTAAAACCATTAAATAACACTTTTTAGTATTACCTTTTTCCAAATTCGACCCCAGATTACAAACTTTTAATAATTTAGTAGGAAGAGTGGCTTATTACACTCTAAGAAAATATATTGTAATCCCTAACAATATAGATTTGTTATGCAAAATATGGTTCATTTAATTATAACTTATGGTTGTAATAACAATATACGTAAAATTAATTTTGTTATATGTACTCTAATCATTTTGTTATAAAAATTTAGTAAAGTTAGATATTTGATTAGGCTATTACAACCATCATGTACGGCTAAACTGTTAGTACTACACTAGATGGTTAAAATTATAAGATTATCTGGTTACAATAACAATATAATGTTGTCACACATTATTAACAATATGTCGTTGTAGTTTTTACTATACAGAAAGTTTATACATATCATACGTATAGTATATTTAACCATATAGAGGGTTATAAGGTATTTGCATATGATTATTATAACTAAATAAATTATTGTTTTGTGCAACAACAAAAATATAGTTAAAGTGACAATAAAACTGTTACAATATAAACATGGTTAACATAACATTAAATATGGCTGTGCCTATACTAATCAGAATATTTAGTAAAAGTTACTATATATTTGATTAAGATAATCATTGTTTTTTTTCAATGTAAGCACCAAGACATCACATTTAAGCCATCCTGAGATTATAGAACTAAAATAATACCTACTTACTTGGTATTACAATTTTTTAAATTTGACTCCAAAATATAAACTTTAGATAGTTTAGTAGGAGGAGCAGTTTATTTAGCATCAAGACATCATACAAGGAGAGAAAAATTTTGCTAAAATAACTATCCAAAGTATTGTTAAATGACGTATCGTGAATTTAGTCAACTGTTTTATTAAATTGAGGATTTGTATGGCTAAATTAGCTATACAGATCCTCAGTTTAATAAAACAGTTGACTAAATTCACGATACGTCATTTAACAATACTTTGGATAGTTATTTTGGCAAAATTTTTCTCTCCGTGTATTTAACTTACGCTGAGATTATAGACTCTTAAATAACACTTTTTAGTATTACCTTTTACCAAATTTGACCTCAGATTACAAACTTTTAATAGTTTAGTAGGAAGAGTAGTTTATTTAGCATCAATACATCATATTCCACCTACCCTGAGATTATAGACCCTAACTTCCTTAAATAACACTTTTTAGTATTACCTTTTTCCAAATTCCACCTCAGATTACAAACTTTTAATAGTTTAGTAGGAAGAGTAGTTTATTTAGCATGAATACATTAAATTTAAGCAATTCTGAGATTATAGAACTAAAATAATACTTAGTATTAATTTTTTTTAAATGTGACTCCAAAATACAAACTTTAGATAGTTTAGTAGGAGGAGCAGTTTATTTAGCATCAAGACATCATATTTATCCTACCCTGAGATTATAGACTCTAACTCCCTTCAATAACACTTTCTAGTATTACCTTTTTTCAAATTCCACCTCAGATTATAAACTTTTAATAGTTTAGTAGGAAGAGTGGTTTATTTAGCATCAATACATCATATTCCACCTACCCTGAGATTATAGACCCTAACTCCCTTAAATAACACTTTTTAGTATTACCTTTTTCCAAATTCCACCTCAGATTACAAACTTTTAATAGTTTAGTAAAAAGAGTAGTTTATTTAGAACGAAGACAATAAATTTAAGCAATTCTGAGATTATAGAACTAAAATAATACTTAGTATTAAATTTTTTTAAATGTGACTCCAAAATACGAACTTTAGAAAGTTTAGTAGGAGAAGCAGTTTATTTAGCATCAAGACATCATATTTAACCTACCCTGAGATTATAGACCCTAGAACCCTTAAATGACACTCCAAATCACAAAATTTGCATTTTTAGATAACAGTCTCGACGTTTCACTTATGGAACGACATAGCGGGCCATATTGGTCAAATAATATTGGCGTTTTTTCTGGGAGCGTGGTCTGATAAACGAGGGCGCAAAATCACCCTACTTTTTGGTTTGGTAGGGAAGCTATACTACTCTTTTATGATCGTAGTCAACTCTCTTCAACCGACGTGGCCTCTAATGCACGTGGTGTATACAGCCACGTTGCCAATGACTTTTTCCGGGGCGGATGCAGCCATTTTCGCGGCTGCTTATTCCTACATTTCCGATGTTACCACGGCTGAAAGTAGAACTATCAGGGTCACCATTTTGGAGGTTTGTTATCTGGCGTCCATGCCGATTGGTATTGCTTTAGGTAAGAGTTAGTTTTGAAGTTTTGCGTTGGTTACATGTTTCGTTTCTATTCTAGGTTCCTATCTTTTTAGAAACGTTGTTAATCAATCGTATAGTATTATGTTTACAATAAACTCCTCACTCTTAGTATTAGCGATAGTGTACTCTTTACTCAGGTTACAATGGCGTACAAATGCAAAACAGCGCCCTCTAAGAGAAGCGTCGAATATTTTCCTGGACTTCTTCGATTACAATCACGTATTAAACACCACGAGAACATTCTACAAAAAACGATCTAGAAACAAACGTCGCTATCTGCTGATGCTGGTGGTCATGATGGCTCTGTACACATTCCAAAGGGACGAAAAGAACATAATGTATTTGTACGTGAGATTCGTCTTCCACTGGGATTACGTCAGGAAATTTAGCAACTTTAAAGTTTTCCAGTCGGCCTTGCAAGACTTATTTCTACTGCTCATGGTACCCTTACTGACTAGAGTGCTTCACTGGAGAGATACCTTCGTGATAATGCTGGGTGCTTTATCCCACGCTGCGGCTAGGTTTTTCTACGCATCTGCCCAAGACGACGCGTTGTTCTATGTCGGAGGTGTGTTCGCTGCTTTTGGACCGATCGTAGCACCTGTTATACGTTCCATGGTCTCCAAACTAGTGTCGAATGCAGAGAGAGGAAAGGCTTTTTCCGTGCTATCTGTGGCAGATAATGCTATACCAATACTGTCAGGGACACTGTATAGTTTAGTTTATAATAGTACGCTGCATACGTATCCAAATGCATTTTTTTACCTAACCATAGGAACCCAACTGGGAGTATTCTTTTTAATAATGTAAGTACAACATTTGGTGATGTTGATGATGTCTTTGATGATTTTTCGTTGTAGTTACATTCATTTTAAAACTAAAGACGAGGATCTGGTGTATGATAACGATGTCCAAGCAAGGTCATCGTTGCATAATGGTGATTCAAATAATCCAAATGAATTGATGTAGGATAATATGACTGTAGTGACTTACTAAGTAAGCATTAAAAGACATTTTACTTTAAAGATAATTGTTTTATTTTTGAAATTTTTAAAACCTGATGCATTTTTAGATAGTCAACCATCTAAAATTTATATTTTTCCTTTAAAGCTATAAGAAGTTCCCCTAATTTTAAAAAGACATTTTAACTCATTTTTAAAATTTATCTTTTTTGATGAAAATTTAGATACTTTAGTCAGAGGAGCATGATATTTAGTATCATAGGCATGTTTAAAAGCAACGCTGAGATTATAGACCCTTAATTCTCAGTATTTTTTTAATTTCAGGATTACCTCTTTCCAAATTTGATAAAACTGATGCATCTTTAAATAGTTTGGTAGGAAAAATTAAAAAATTAGTATTTTAAGTATGTTTATAAGCTACCTTGAGATTATAGACCCTTACTAATCAGTATTTTTAAATTTCAGGATTACCTTTTTCTAAATTTAATAAAACTGATCCATTTTTAGATGGTTTAGTAGGAGGAATAGAAAATTTAGTATTTTAAGCATGTTTACAAACTACTCTGAGATTATAGACCCTTAAAATTATTATTTTTTAATTTCTGGATTACCTTTTTTTAAATTTGATAAAAATGATGCATTTTTAAATAGTTTAGTAGGAGGAATAGAAGATTAAGAATCTTAAGTAAGTTTATAAGTTACCCTGAGATTATATACCCTTAAGGGTCTGTAATTACAACTCAGTTTTTTTTTAATTTTAGGATTACCATTATTGTAAATTTAATAAAACTAATGCATTTTTAGATAGTTTAGTAGGAGGAATAGAAAATTTACTATATTAAGTATGTTTACAAGCTACCCTGAGGTTATAGACCCTTAAAACTCAGTATTTTTTTTTATTTCAGGATAACCTTTTTCTAAATTTGATAACACTGATGCATTTTTAAACAGTTTAGTAGGAGGAACATAAAATTTAGTATTTTAAGCTACCCTAAGATTATAGACCCTTAAAACTTAGTATTTTTTTAATTTCAGGATAATCTTTTTCTAAATTTGATAAAACTGATTTATTCTAAATAGTTTAGTAGGAAGAATAGAAAATTTGTTATCCCAAGTATGTTAACAAGCTACCTTGAGATTATAGACTCTTAAAACTCAGTATTTTTTTTAATTTTAGGACTACCTATTCTGTAAATTTGATAAAATTGATGCATTTTAAATAGTTAGCATAGTATAGTAGGAGGAATAGAAAATTCAGTATCTTAAGTATGTTTACAAGCTACCCTGAGATTATAGACTTTTAAAACTTGGTCTTTTTTTAATTTCAGGATTACCTTTTTCTAAATTTAATAAAACTGATGCATTTTTAGATAGTTTAGTTGGAGGAATAAAATAATTAGTATCTTAAGTATGTCTACAAGCTACCCTAAGATTATAGACCATTAAAACTTGGTATTTTCATTAATTTCAGAATTACCTTTTTCTAAATTTGATAAAACTGATGCATTTTTAAATAGTTTAGTAGGAGGAATAGAAAATTTAGTATCTTAAGTATTTTTACAAGCTATCCTGAGATTATAGACCCTTAAAATATTTTTTTAATTTCAGGATTACCTTTTTCTAAATTTGATCAAACAAAGTTAACCTTAATATTAAAAATGCTAAAAAGGCTTTGATCTCATTCTTTTATTTTTCAAATTAATGTTTTTTTATGAAAATTAATATAGGTACTTTAGTATGAGGAATTTAAATAAAACCTTTTTTGCCTTAAAAATTTATTAATCACCCCTTATTATAAAATGACTAGACTTTACTTATATCAAACATTACATGGAAGCTGGTCATAAACCAAACACATCCCAAGATTATCATCAGGGGGCGCTTCCCGGGCGCTGGGGCCAAAATGAACACCTACAGTAAACGGCGTAGAACTGCTTTCCACTCTACACGGTGTTTGACCGGATGGACATAAACTTGGCCCGCAGTGTATCAAATTGCAGAAGCCTGGCAGAGTTCCTCCGGCATCCATGGGCTGAAAAGTCATAGTCAAAGAAAAATATATTTTTTCCACCACACTCATACCATTATAAGATCGTCAGAATCGCACGGCAAACTTATCATATCCCCACAACTGTCCATTTGCCTGCTTTGAGGCACACCATCACTCCCAGAACCTTCCAAAGCATCATCCAAGTTAGATTCAACTTCTTGACGATTCGGGTCAATTTTGAATGAGTCTTCATGACAGGGCTCGTACGCTATACTGCACATACCTTCTTCTTGACGCATACATATATTGTAATCTTGTTCCGCGAGATGGCGGCCGTTATCAGCGAAGTTCATAGTTTGTATGACACCTAGAGGGAGAGGGTAGATAGTTTATTGAGAGGAGTTAAAAATTTAGTGTTTGTAGATTGTTTAAAAGTTGCCCTGAGATTATAGACCCCAAAATACCGCATTTATTAATATCAGGATTACCTTTTTCTAACTTTGATGAAAATATTGTATTTCAGATAGTTCAGTGGGAGAAGTAGAAAATGTATTGTTCATATGGTGTTTAAAAGACACCCTGAGAATATAAACATTATGAACCCAAAAATAAGCTAAATGGTATTCCAAATTAAGGATTTTTATATTATTTAGGAAGAGGAGTAAATAATTTAGTCCTATTTAGGTGTTTTAAACTAATTGTGAGATTATAGACCCCAAAATACCGCATTTATCACTTTTTTCTAATTTTGATACAAACATTGTATATCAGATGGTTCAGTGGGAGGAGTAGAAAATTTAGTGTTCTTAGGGTGTTTAAAAGATACCCTGAGAATATAGACACTATGAACCCAAAGATAAGCTAATTGGTATTCCAAATTAAAGGTTTTTATAATATTTAGTAAGAGGAGTAAATAATTTAGTCCTATTTAGGTGTTTTAAACTAATCGTGAGATTGTAGACCCTAAAATACCGGATTTATCAATATCAGGATTACTCTAATTATTCTAATTTTGATAAAAACATTGAATTTCAGATGGTTTAGTGGGAGGAGTAGAAAATATAGTGTTCTTGGGATGTTTAAAAGACACCCTGAGTATATAGACATTATGAACCCAAAGATAAGCTAAAATGAATTCCAAATTAAGGATTTTTAGATTATTTAGCAAGAGAAGTAAATAATTTAGTCCTATTTAGGTATTTTAAACTAACCGTGAGATTATAGACCCCAAAATGCAGGATTTATCAATATCAGGATTACCTTTTTCAAAATTAGATGAAAGTATTTTATTTGAGATGGTTCAGTGGGAGGAGTAGAAAATTTAGTGTTCTTAGGGTGTTTAAAAGACACCCTAAGAATATAGACACTATGAACCCAAAGATAAGCTAAAATAAATTCCAAATTAAGGATTTTTAGATTATTTAGCAAGAGGAGTAAATAATTTAGTCCTATTTAGGTATTTTAAACTAACCGTGAGATTATAGATCCCAAAATGCAGGATTTATCAATATCAGGATTACCTTTTTCAAAATTAGATGAAAGTATTTTATTTCAGATGGTTCAGTGAGAGGAGTTGAAAATTTAGTGTTCTTAGGATGTTTAAAAGACACCCTAAGAATATAGACACTATGAACACTATAAAATGAATGCCAAATTAAGGATTTTTAGATTATTTAGCAAGATGAGTAAATAATTTAGTCCTATTTAGGTATTTTAAACTACCCGTGAGATTATAGACCCCAAAATGCAAGATTTATCAATATCAGGATTACCTTTTTTTAATTTTGATAAAAGCATTGTATTTCAGATAGTTTAGTGGGAAGAGTAGAAAATGTATTGTTTATATGGTGTTTAAAAGACACCCTGAGAATATAGACACTATGAACCCAAAGATAAGCTAAAATGAATGCCAAATTAAGGATTTTTAGATTATTTAGCACGAGGAGTAAATAATTTAGTCCTATTTAGGTATTTTAAACTAACCGTGAGATTATAGACCCCAAAATGCAGTATTTATCAATATCAGGATTACCTTTTTCTAAATTTGATGAAAATATTGTATTTCAGATGGTTCAGTGGAAGGAGTAGAAAATTTGGTGTTTATTGGGTGTTTAAAAGACCCTGAGAATATAGATAAGCTAAAATGGATTGGGTATTAATTTGGTGTTTTAAAGTAACCCTGAGATTAATGATATATAAGTTTTATGTAAAATAATGTATTTTAGATTACCTTTAAGCCCTGTGTGATACTGCAAACACCCTGCTGGGGCTCTTTCAGCAAATGGGACCTGCGTAATCCTAACCTCCCATAATCTTGACACAGCTCTTCTGCTCAAATTCATGGATATCGTTATGGGTTCGTTGATATCTTCTACATCGTAATAAGCTACAAAAAATATAATTTAATGTTTTTGTTGGTGTTTGTTTTTATATATTTTTTACCATGTTGTCCGCTGTTTAATCCACATAACTTAAGTTCCTTCGTTTTACCGCCTGTCATGAGGAAAATATCTTCCTCGCATACACCGTTTTTGCGGTTGGGTTGTCCCAAGTTGAAATGGATAAAATCGAGTCTCAACTGGGCGATTTCCGGGTCAATTTTTTTTACTATTAAAGAACACGAGGTCATTTGATGGGTTAAATCTGGGAAATCTGGGTTTACGAAGTACGTGAGGTTGTTGTAGGCTTCTTGGTTGCAGGTTGCAGTGACTTTATTATTAGTTAAAAAAATCATCATTAAAGTTGGATTTTGATTGCGATAATTATTTTTTACTTACATACACAACACACCCCAAAACCCAGTGCACACGGGCCATAGGATTTTCCATTTTGGATACGACATTCATAGGTGTTCATACAGACACCTAAAATTACGAAAAAATGTTAAAATAAAAATTAAGGCAGATATTTTGATAAAAAATGTTCAGAAGAGGGGGTACAATTTAAAATGTAAGAAAAATTGTTAATACCTTTTCTACGGCCATCGTTGGCACGACATTCTTCTTCTACGGGCACTGGGAAGAAGTTAAGAACTAAACAAATATTATTTTAGAAGAAAATCTTCCATGAATAGATTGTTACCTCTTGCAAGTCTTGTTGAGTTGGTTATATTGAAACTATCTTCTATAACATTATTTACAATCTTGTCACTAAAAATATCGACATCATCACTGGTCAAAGGTAACGAAAGAACATGTAGAATCAATATGAAAAATAAATTTATCACTACTAGCACAAATTCCATGCTTTTAAACTACATCAAACTTTGATATTACATTTTTGAATCTGTGCTTCTTGTGAATGAAGATCTTGTGGTTTTAAAAAGAAATTCCTAAGTAGGAAAGTGGGTTAGGTCATATTATTGAACTTGAATTATGCAGTTCCGTTATTTAATACGCATTTTATTAGACGGTTAATTCATATCACATTGTTTTATTTTAATTCGTATTCATTTATGAATATTCCTTATAATTTAATTGACTAAAAATGTTGTATAATAAAACGAAATCAAGTCAAGGGCTTTCAGGTTTTTATTTAGTATAATTACAGTAAATTATGTAATAAAATTATATACAGGGTGTTTATTGATCTGAATCAAACACAACACCAACTTGTTTCCTTATGTTATCCATTAACTTTGAAAGCTCCATGGTTTCACTATGTGGAACTAACTCACTCTCTATTTGCTTGCCTCTAATGCATTGTCTGACTTCTTCAGCTTCATAGGATAAACCTACGCTATTATTGAAGTTAAAGGTACCTGAAATAATAAATAAATATGTAAGAAATAAACACACAACCACAAAGAAAATACCTTTATTTTCTGGTAGAGGAAAAACCATCTCTTTACCGTTCAAAATCAAAGTGGTTGGGCACCAAAACCCCGGAATTCTTATGGTACCTTTGGTACCTACTATAATACCCTCGTTGGGTGCCTCCACCATCGCGGTAGCACCCACCATAGCCGTCTTACCCTCAGGGTACGTCAAAATAGCGTTGAACGACTGATCAGTACCGAAGCTATTTAAATGACCAGCTGCAACAACCTTATTAGGCGTTAAACCTCTGTAAACAAACTGTTGGAATTGTAGTGTGTATATTCCCAGGTCCAGGATGGAACCACCGCCCATTTCTTTCTGGGTGAGGCGGTCTACCTCTTGTAGAGGAAAGCCGAATTCTACGGAAACAGAGTACACATCACCTATGGTCTTTTCTTCCAACAATCTACTCAGTTCTTTGTATACAGGGAAACATCTGGACCAAATCGCTTCCATTATGAACAAATTCTTCTCCTTGGCCAGCTTCAGGAGTGCCGAAGTTTGCTTTTGGTTCATGGTGAATGGCTTCTCGCATAACACGTGTTTTCCGCTCTCCAACATCAACTTGGCCACCTCGTAATGTTGCGGGTTCAGAACCCCGATGTATACCACCTCAACTTCTTCATCCTTCGCCAATTGGGCGTAACCTTCGTAAGATTTTTTCAGGTTAAACTTCTTTGCGAAGCTATCGGCACTGGACTGGCTTCTAGCTGCCACAGCCACAACTTCATGGTGCTCTTTTGGTAGAGATTGCGAAGCTGTCACAAAATCGCTAGATATTTTCCCCGAACCGGCTATACCCCACTTCAAAGACATCTTTTAGGTTAGGAATTATATTATTAAGTGATATTTTTACGATTAATTATAGGTATGTTGTTTAAATAACTTAGATAACACGTCAACTAGTCAATGTTGCCAGATGTAGGTACGTACGATAAAAGATTATTAATTAATTATAATTAATTAATAATCGTTTATCGTACGTACATAGTACTACATACATTACAAATAAAAAACAAAATTATTATTAAAGGTTAGGTTAGGTCATTAGGTCAACAAGAAACGATACAAACGTACAATTATTAAAACTATAAAGTGAGGTTAGATTTGACAGAATTCGAATTTTGTATTGATTAAAAGTAGTAAATAATGATTTTTTACAGCCTAGGCTGTTAATAACCTAACCCGATTGGTATAAATGGTTTATAAGTGAGTAGTCTATAATCAATCACTTTAGTAACGAATGTTGACAACAATAATGGTTAAATTATTTGACATCTGTCAAATTTTAACGTATTTAACCTCACTTTTCCCTAATTTATGATAAAGCTAACTTCAGCCCGTGACTAAAATGTCCAAGTTTTATAAACGAAGCTTGCGAGGGAGTCTTTAATAAAACCGAGTGTCTAGAAGTTTATAAAACCAGTTGCATACACTATCTACGACGATCACAAAAAAGAATTTAAAGCCAATTTTATTTGTTAAAAATTTGACATTTGTCAACTGTCAACGGATTTACCTAACCTCGTTTTTTCCCAATTTATAATAAAGCCAACTTCAGCCCGTTACTAAAATGCTCAAAAGCCACTGTTGCTAACTTCACTTTTTGTAGGTACCTTTAACATTAAATGTTGCCGTGTAAGAATTTTTAATACTTTGTGATAATTTGCAATTATAGTAGACAATTTTTAAAAATCAAAGGATAAAATATTTTCTTAAACTAATCATATTTTGAAATTATTTTAATATTTTAAAGTATCATGATACTTTACTGCAGTAATTAATAAGTTTAATTAAAATAATAACAGGCAATGTAAATATGTTTATTATAATACAAATATTAAATTTAATCATTTTTTAGAAAATATTAAGTATTCTACAAATATATTTGTGGTAGAAAAAGTATAGTATGCAACTCGTTTTTAAAATTTTTAGGACACTCATTAAATTAAGCACTCGCTCGCAAGCCTAAATTAAATTAGTGACTTCTCACATTTAACATCTGGCAACACTGCAGCTAGTCGACTAATTGCAAAAAAGTATTTGTAAACAAAGATAAGAATTCAAGAGTTATTGCATCATTTATTATTAATTTAATTTTTTAAGTAAATAAATTTGTTTTATATAAATCTGCCCAAATGACCTAATTTTTAAATACCAAAAAGTGCACTTGCACTGGTCCCATTGAAAACGAAAGTGATGGCCCAAGGCGATTTACTTTAATATAAAAAGAACCGAAATTTCCGAATTAAAGCATAATACGTTCAATATTTGTGATATTACATTTATTTTACCCTCTGCAATGGCTTTTAAAGTAAGGTGAACATTTTGGTATTAAAATTAATCTAATTTCAATATTTTTAGTTCGTTATTTTCTCTGCTTGCTTGGCTTTTGCTCAAGCAGGACTTATTGGAGCTCCAATAGCTGCACCCATCGCCTATTCTCAAGCCCCGATAGCTGCAGCTTACTCTCCAGCTACAGCTGTCTCCCACATCTCCTATTCGTCGCCAATTGTTTCGTATGGAACACCGATTGCCGCTCAAGCTCCAACCATCACAAGCCAATCTCAGAACATCTTGAGAAGTTTTGGAAATCTTGGACAAGTTTCCACTTACTCCAAGACCATCGATACACCTTTCTCCAGGTAAAGTATTAAAAAATTCATTAAAAAAATTTTTTTTTTTACAAAAAACTATTTTCTTTTTAGCGTCCGCAAAACAGATGTGCGTGTGTCAAACCCTGGCATTAGATACGCTTCTCCGTACCTCCAAGCAGCCCCACTCTCAGTGGCGCACGGCCTCCAAGTTGCACCTGCCATTGCCGCCCCGGTTGCCTACTCGGCCGCCCCAGCAGTCTCACACGTCTCCTACCAAGGTTTAGCCGGTGGATACGTTTTTTAAACATTTATAATGACAAAATTTGGTTGTAATTTATTTTTTTAATGTTAATAAATTGATTATTTGCTGAATCATGTGTTTTAAACAAAAAAATAATGTTTTGGGAATTTTTGCACAAGCCGGCAACACTGCATACGTGCACAATCTGGCTACGTTGGTTTATTAGAACTACTCGCATCGGGACATTGCGCCTACTTGGTTATTTTATTGATTTTATCTATAGAAATATATATAATATAAATATATATATAATATTATTTCTATGATTTTATCTGTATTAACATAACAGGCTGCGACTTTTTGACACGGGTTGAATTTTGCAAGAATTGATGAAAAGTGGGGTTAATCTGTTGTTAGTTGTCAGAAGTCAAAAGTTTAACAAATAAAATTTTAATTATTCTATGTATTAAGTTTTATAAACGCTATTTTAGTTACGAGTTTAATTAAGCTCGAGCGAAGCTTGCGAGCGAGTGTTTAATAAAAACCAATGTGTCTAGAAAAGTTTTTAAACGAGTTGCATACTTTATCTACGACGAACACAAAACACAATTTAAAGGCAATAGAGCCAACTTAAGCCTGTGACTAAAAAGCTTAAAAGCCACTGTTTCCAACTTCGGCCCGTGACTAAAAAACCATAAAGTCACAGCTTGTCAATGTAGGAATAGATAAAATTTTCAAAGCACTACTTTTTATTAAATACTCGCTCGCAAGCCTGGCTTGTGCCTAACTCAAACTACACCATTTAATAAATTATGCATACATATATGGTGTATTAGGTTCCTTTATGCACTACTACATTAAATTAGAAAAAAGTGGTTAAAATCGTTTGAGAGATGTCAGATTGAAAAAGGTGAGGTTAAATCTGTCTGACAGATGATAAAAAGTTGGGTTAAAACCGATTGACAGTTATCACATAAAATATCAAATAAAATTGACCCTAAATTTTGAAAAAACTTATCAAAATTACTCATTTATTAAAATATCGCTCCGCTTGTGCATAATATACTATTAAATGAAGTAAATAAATAAAACTAAAGCACTTCACTAACAAAATATATTATTGCAAATAATTATCTCTACATTCTTAAGTACTTATCGGTGATGTTTGTTTAAATAATCAATAAATATAGACTTAATAGGCTCCAATATTCTGCAACACTCCTGTTTAACATACTGAAGCTTATGCTCGCACTCAGAAATAGTTAACAGAGGGTTCTCGTTGAAGCCACTGACTTCATCTATTAAGTCGAAGAAAAAGTCTTCATCAAATGCATGTCTGTCATTGGCAGCTTTCCAGAGTTTAAGTGCGTTTAAATGGACGGGTCTTGGCGGGTTTTGTAGGAACTTTTCCAATATCTTTCTGCATTCTGCGTCTTCGATGCAATTTTTTATTCTGTCGTTGAATCTTTCAATTTGTTGATGTGTGAAGCGTAATTGCTCCATTTATACATTTATCTAAAAGAAAAATTTTAAATCAAATTTCTTAATCTTAATCTGGATTCAGGCCTTATCTTATCTAATTTAAAACATTTAAATTTAAAAATGTATTATTTAATAATATTCATATTTACCTTTATTTTTTATTGAATTTTTCTTCATTACACTTAATTTTTCTCTTTGTTATGACTAGATCATTTTTTCTTGTTACTTTAACCTCTAACCTTACTTACTAACCTTCAAATTTATGTATTCTTCGTGCATGAGAAGATTTATAATTATTCTTCATACAAAGAGAGGAAATGCCTTGCTTTACATTCCTTACACTATAATGAGTATTTCATCTAATTTTAGATGTTTACATTTTCGGTAATTAACGAAATTCCATAAAAAAAATCGTTAAATTTAGCGAAGTACTTGTCAAAAATATAGAAATCATTCTAATTTATCGCAAAATAATTAAAAATAAGTCTATAGTGCGTCATTTTAGTAAAAAAACTAATAAAAATCAAAAATAAAGTATTTTGTTAGTGGCGACATCCATGTGGTGGTAGTCAAACTAACATTGTTACAATTTTATAGATAGGCAACCAAGTCTTCAAATAGTGTATTTTTGTTGCATTTTATCATTGCGTATTTTTATTATCACAAAGATTTCCTAATAAACAAAACAATTATTTTTAAAAAAACAATTTCATAAGTAAGAGATAAGTAAAGCAAACATGATTAACTAAACAGTTGAACAATTAAATACTTAACATAATAAAAGTGAAATAATTTGAATATTCACATGATTAGCTGTGATAAAAAAAGGACTTTAACCGGTTTTGTTGAACATTCTTTTTAGTGCAAAATTAACCATGGCAACCACACTAGCCAAGTCCATTTTCACCAAAGTGAACAGCAATTTAATCAAAAATGGACTTCAAAGTCAAATAAAGTTTATGTCTAGTGGTAAGTTAGGTTATACGTTTAAGAAATGAATAAGGTTGTAAAGTCACCAATCATTTTAGCAAGCTACGAATACATTAAGGTATCAAAAGCTGGTTCGAAGAGCAATGTAGGAGTCATAACATTAAATCGCCCCAAAGCCCTGAACGCCCTGTGCAATGGTTTGATGACTGAAGTAGGCAAAGCCCTAGACACCCTGGAAAATGACAGCAGTGTGGGGGCTATCATCATCACTGGTAGTGAAAAGGCTTTCGCTGCTGGTGCAGATATAAAAGAAATGCAAAATAACACCTATTCGCAGTGTATGACAGGAAATTTCTTGAGCCACTGGAACAGAGTGGCCGAAAGTGTCAAACCCGTCATAGCGGCTGTTAATGGATACGCGGTAAGTGTCAAAATTCGGTATCTAGAATTTGTTTGTTTTCTTGGAAAGTTTTGAAGCTAGAAAGTTCAAATTTGGTGCACATTTATAATGAGTTAAGGTAACAATTGGTACCAAATTTGAACCTTCCACCTCTAAAAACACAAAAGTTATAATGAAACAAACTTTTTTAGTTGGGAGGTGGTTGTGAGCTAGCCATGATGTGCGACATCATTTACTGTGGCGAAACCGCCAAATTCGGGCAACCGGAGATTCTTATTGGGACCATCCCTGGGGCTGGAGGCACCCAAAGGTTATCCAGATGGGTTGGCAAATCTAAAGCCATGGAGATGGTTTTGACTGGTAACCAAGTCCCAGCGATTGAAGCTGAAAAAATGGGTTTGGTTGCTAGAGTGTACCCAGTTGATAAACTCTTGGAGGAAACCACAAAGATCGCCGAAAAAATCGCCAATAACTCTCAATTGGTCACCGCCATGGCTAAAGAATCCGTAAATACTGCATACGAAACTACTTTGAAGGAAGGTTTGCATTTCGAGAAGAGGATGTTCCATGGTACATTCGCTACAAAAGATAGGAAAGAGGGCATGACTGCTTTTGTTGAAAAAAGGGCCCCAAATTTCACTAATGAATAAAGAACTTGATTTTATATATATTTTTACATAATAAATACTTTATATTGTTTCAATTAGTTTTTTAAATTTTTGATGTTATATTAAGTACATCACAAACTTGTTGACAATCTGTGACTATGGCTTTGACAGTTGTCAAATGTCACAACTAGACAACTAGATAAACTAATAAAATTATGTCAAGCCTAAATTTAATTCAAATTTAATGGATATAGATAGGAAAAATAGCAAATTATTATTAAAATTTTTATAATACATTTTAATTCAATACGCATTTAAACACATTATTTAACATTTTACCTAAGGAATATTTTGTTAGTAGAATTAATATTTGCGTCATTTAATTTGGCGCTTTGGAAATGTGGCAGGAAGCAACTGCAGTAGTTCAAATGCATAGTAGGTATGTACAGTAGAAACCGTCAATATATGAACGTGACTCATCCGACACATTCGTACGAAGCAATCTATCGAAGGTCACGGTCCAGTGCAGTCTCGTTTGTAAAAAAATTTGAGTGTAATGTTGGTTGCTATACTTATGATATATTTGCTTTTAAAGTTAAATAATTAACATCTAACATAATTAACATCTAGGATAATTAAATAAAATGTAATTTTCTTAGAAACTAATTAATAAATAAACTTTTCTTTTAACTTTAATGAAATATTCTATCATCTGATTACAGAACGTACACTCGTGGCGACATCTCTGATTTAAATAACAAATTTTTAGACCGACCCAACCTCACTTTCTTCCAATTAAATTCTTAGTATAGTCTGAAACACGTTTGGAATTGCATATTCCCCTCTCGTGAAACCGTCAAACTTGTTACAGAATATACTATTCTTTTAACTGTAAACGCAAATATTTCAGAATTGGTGACAAAAAACAAAAATGTTTACGCAGGTCAGGTACAAAGTGAAAGATATTTAAATTGTGTGGATATAAAAACAACTTGCGTTAGTTTCACGAAATTTATTAAATATTGACAATTGTTTCGCTACACAGTAGCTTCTTCAGAATGTATTAAACTAATACTAGTACAAAATTTACATGTATAATAAAAATATTTTTGTATTCTAGCCTAGAATTTCTAGGTAAGGATTTTTATACGACATCCACCTGTGTTACATAATATAAACCACTGCCACTACAACGTTTAAAACGATTATTAATCCGTAAACACACAGTAGAAACAAGATATGCAAAAACAAAGATCATATGACAAATGGCCGACGGTAAAGTTGGTTGCCTTACTATGTAATAAAATAAAATAAATTCCTAAAACACGAACTCTACTGACTTCCAATAAAATTAAGTAACAAGCTAGGACACAAGCGTCATATGTCCATCTTTGTCCAACACCTAGGCAGTTTTACATCACAGATGGCGCATTTTAGACCGGATGCTTAAAAACCTACGTGTGAGTCAATTACCGCTGCATCGAATGTACAAGACAAGTAAAACATTACTGCTAGCATGTCTGAGATATGTTCGGCACCCGATGAGTCACGTTCATATATTGACGGTTTCTACTGTATGCGTAAATTATCTACGTCGCCAATATGCGGAGAAATTCGGGGTTTGTTCTTGAATCTATATAATTATCTAAATAATCTAAATAATTATAGAAATTATTTCACAAAACTAGAAGGTTCTAGTTTTGTGATATAATTATTTGACGAAGATAAATTAAACATACCTATCATTTGAACTACTGCAGTTGCCACTTTCGGCCGCACTTTCGCAGCGCCAAATTAATTTTATGTGTAGACATAAAATTAGTAATATAATTTTATCAGTAAAAATTAAATTAATTCTAATGTGTATAGTCATAATTTTAATTACAAAATAAAAATTCAGTGCCTAAAATTTGCCTTTGCCGTACAAATACACTTGTATGTTTATTATAAATTACAAATTTCAATGTATTTAAATTTGAGGGCTTGAACAGGAGTACCAATTTTAAATATAAAATAATACCAACATAATCAAATGTGTTAAATTCCGAAAAAAACACAAAATATTTTGAAAAACTCTTTATTTCTGTTAAGCCCACGGTTTTGTTAAACCATATTCGATATTCCTACTATTATCTTTTAAAATCTTGTCAAATTCTTCAATATTTTCCGGGTATTCCACCTGTTCGTGCAAAAATTTGACAACCAAGGCTGTGTTAATTTTTAAAGCTACCTCAGGGTTCAGTTTTTTCATGAACCAATTCAGCCAAGACCCTATCAAAAGGGGCGTGTCCGTTTGGTGCTCATGCGTAGTATGCCTAAAATTAAACTATAATACATGTTTTTGTACCTACGTAAATATTGTACTTACAGTATTGTGCACATGTCCCTGTGCTCTCTATCGAGAAATTTCTCCATAATATTAACGTTACTTTTCAGGTGAAACGTCTGGGTGTTTAAAAACCTCAAAGGTTGCTCAATTTTTTCATAGAGATTCTCATCTTTAATGCTGAACATCCAAGGGTCCAGTAAAATTCCCTGCCTCAACTCTTTTCTCTGAGATAGAGCCAATAAGGCGCTAGCGCCCCCAAAAGAGTGTCCCATCATGGTAACACTATTCAAGTCCAACTTATCACCGAATAAATCCAAACTGAACGCAATATTTTTATGCAGAAGCGTGTCATCCAAAACATTGTACAGCTTCTCTCCTGCATGCAAACTTATCAAAACATCTAGGGCTCTAGAGCACTCCTTGGCCCTTTTGTGCACCTGTTCGTTCCTCTTTCTGTAATGGTTCTTTCCAAGAGGGATGGGTTTGTGGTCTATAAGAGTTTTCACATCTTTTCCCGCGTTTATTTTAGAGCTGTAGTAATACGTATTTCCAGCAGAGTTGTCTCTATGTTCTAGGGCTACAATAAGAAAGCCTCTAGAGGCCAACTCGCAACACAAATTCGAGTAAAAGTTTCTATGCGCCCCCAGACCGTGCGAGATTATGATTGGGCGGAGTTTTTTGTCCAACTTTGGTTTTTCGCCGTATAGAGATGGGAACAGGTTAATATCTAAATAAAAATAAATATATAAATAAAACTCTAATAAAACAAGGCGTCATATCTCGTGAACTACAAGAGGTATGTGTAAAAAATTTGGACAAGTTGTAGAGCTTAACACCCTTAAAATATGTTCCAAATTTCATATTAATATCTCCACTAATTTTTAAGTTATTGTAAAATTACCTGACCACCAAAAAATAAACCTAATCAAAAACGGAAAAATCATAAAAACTCTTGCCAACCCAACTATGTAACTATCATCCGGCATCCATTTGGCCCACTTCGTGTAATTGTTCTAAAAATAGAAATTAAATTAGTGCTAAAAATCGCCCATTGTTTCGACGGCCAATTAAAACTTACGGAATCTTTTTTGGCCTCGGTAGGATAAAAAAACCTCATAAAAATCCCGTCCTGTGCATAATCCAGCATGACGTCGGTGCACCCGGGCATGTACGGACCTGTAACAACCAATAAAAAAAGCGTAAACAAAAAAACGCGGGAATAAAACAACTGTTGTCGTGAAACGTCACTATCAAAACAATTGCTGGTGGTGAGCGTAGGGGTTATGATTAGAAGTGTTCTAAAAAAGTGTAATTTGTTTGAGAGAATCAAAAATATTACCTGTGCTAATCGGTAAGTGCCGTGGCTTTCCACTAAAGTAACACATGTTAAATAAATACAACAAATTTTGTTGTAATTGGACTTTTCACTGCACTTTGAGGTTATGTGGGAGTTTTTCGGGTGTTGCGATGTTCGCTTGTCGTCTTCTACGGTCAAAGTAGGCTTTTTGAATCAGCGACTTTCTCTTATTCTAAACATTCACCTAAATTGTAAGTGTGGTTGGCACTATACCTCCTCTGTGAGCACTGCCTACTTAATGTTAAAACTATAGTTTTGTCTTTATATTATTGGATAGAAAAAAAAAAGAATATTTGAAAATATCAGAATTGTTTTGTTTGAACGATGTAGAAATAACGCAATTTGGATAATCACGATGGAAACGCGCTTTTTTTAATTCAATTTTTAATAAATATTTTTTTATGATAATGAGTAAATTGTAGTTAATTAAAGATTTAATTTTAACGATTTTCAAGGTTAAAAACCATCGAACCGTTAAGTGATCAATGATCGAACCCTTTAAATATTCGTTTTTACTTAACATACAGGGGCATACTTCAATTTTTTACGTTAAAATTTTTTATATAAAACATTATCAGATTTTATAATAATTTGACAACGCAATGTAAATAACCATTTTTTTTAAGTACATACATATTTAAATATTTGAAATCAAAAAATCTTAAAAACTATTTTATTTAATTTGATCAAAAAAATTTTTAATATAAAACATTATCAGATTTGATAATAATTTGACAACGCAATGTAAATAACCATTTTTTTTTAAGTACATACATATTTAAATATTTGAAATCAAAAAATCTTAAAAACTATTTTATTTAATTTGATCAAAAAAATTTTTTATATAAAACATTATCAGATTTGATAATAATTTGACAACGCAATGTAAATAACCATTTTTTTAAGTACATACATACATATTTAAATATTTGAAATCAAAAAATCTTAAAAACTATTTTATTTAACGCTGTGGCTCCCGTCCCGAGGCGGGACTTAAGTTCAGTCCCGATTGACGTCATAATTTTAAGATTTGTTATGTTATAATAAAATAATAATAATAATAAATTGTACCTGTATACATGTTAAGGGCACTTTAGTTACGTCATAAAACCAAACCAACCCAAACTCAACAACACAACCCAACCGACCCCGCCCCATTGGGCCCCCACCGCCCCGTTGAGCAAAAAACCCAACTAAAATGGGCAAATTTATGTTACGATAAAAATAAAACACTTTTTAACAAAGAAACAACAAATTTATAAAATAAAAAAAAATTAAAAAAGTTTGACAACTTCTAGTGGGATCGAACCCGGTACCTCTCGCATGCCAAGCGACCGCCCTACCATCTAAGCCATCGAGCCTGACACAAATTATAAAATCTCGGGGAAACGGATTTACAGTGTGTGACGTCAATCGGGACTGAACTTAAGTCCCGCCTCGGGACGGGAGCCACATCGTTTATTTAATTTGTTCAAAAAAATGACCTTAAAATATTTTTTGACGTTTTAAAATTTACCTAATATTTTAACCGCAATTTTAAAAAGAATTTTAATCATTTTTATCTAATTTTAACAAAATTGGCCTTAAAACACTATTTAAATAGTGTTGACATTCACATTCCAAAATTCATCATTTACATTATTTTCCATTAAAAAAATCTTTTTTATCACAATTTTACATAAAGGTCCTTAATAATTGGCAACACGATCAATTTTTGACATTTATGACCTTGGAAAAAGTTAGGTTTTTATGAAATTTTAACAATTTTTAACCAATTTAAACAAAAACTCCCTTATTTAAACCACAGTTAAATTAAAAAGACCTTGGAACTTGGCAACACCAAAAAAATCAATTTTTTCAAATTTTCAACAAAAATCACCTCAAAAACATTTTAAAATAAAGCTATCCTGTCAAAAAATGGGAACATTTTTTATAAATTTGAAGTTACTTAATTATTGCTGATTGTGTCATTTTTGTAATTAAGGTTAATTCACACAAAATTAAGTAATTGTTAAATTATAGAGACCTTCAAAATTGCCAACACTGCAACGCCATTAACCAACCCTAAAAATTGCAATTTTTGACATATGACCTTAATAAAAGTCTATTTTAGACGATAATTTTTTTTAAACCTAATTTGAATTTTACGTAATTTTAACAAAATGACCTTAGAAAACAACTGTTTGACATTGTAGACCTTACATCAAACAAAATCTAATGGGTCAGAAAATTGGCAACCTCGGAATTTTTGACATATGACCTTGAAAAAGACTATTTTAGGCGATACATTTTTTAACCATAATTTGAATTTTACTTAATTTTAACAAAATGACCTTAAAAAACAACTGTTTCACATTGTAGACCTAACATCAAACTGATAATTCGCAAAATTGGCAACATCGCAATATTTGACATAATATGTAAAATTCAAATTATGGTTAAAAAAATGTATCGCCTAAAATAGACTTTTTCAAGGTCATAGTATGACCTTGAAAAAAGTCAAAATGACCTTATAAAACAACTGTTTGACATTGTAGACCTTACATCAACCATAATAAAATATTTCGCAAAATTGGCAACATCGTTTTCCAATTTTTGACCTTTACAAAAGTTTAAATTATTTTCGGAAATGTCCTTGATTTTAACTCCATTTTAATCAAAATGACCTTAGAAAAACACTGAAAAATCTAATATGGGACTTTTTTTTCCTTAAATTTTCATTAATTTGCTCATAACTTTACATAAACAACGGAATGTTTTATACCACATTTACCTAATTTTAACAAAATGACCTTAGGAAACTTAATACCGTGGATTAAACTCTTTTTGGACCTTATTTTTTTAATTTCTTGGTTTTAACCTTTTTGACTTAATTTACCTACCTTAAAATTGCTTCTTAATATGGAACATTGTTTTTCATTAAAGTATCTTGTAATTTTCACATAACTTTACATAAATGACCTTAAATAATTAAATAGCAACATCGCAATTTTTGACATATGACCTTGAAAAAAGTCTATTTTAGACGATAATTTTTTTAACCTTAATTTGCATTTTACGTAATTTTAACAAAATGACCTTATAAAACAACTGTGACATTGTAGACCTTACATCAACCAAAATCTAATATTTTGCAAAATTGGCAACATCGCAATTTTGTTTTCCAATTTTTGACCTTTACAAAAGTTTAGATTATTTTTGGACTCTACTTTTTTAAATGTCCTTGATTTTAACTCCATTTTAATCAAAATGACATTTTTTGAAACTTAAGACCTTGCTTTAAGTAACCAAAAACCAATATTGATATAGAATTTTTGACATACAAATGTTTAAATTCTTTTTAAACGTTATTTTTTTAATTTCTTGGTTTTAATTTTTTTAACTTAATTTTAAACAAAATGACCTTAAAATTGCTTCTTAATATGGAACATTGTTTTTCATTAAAGTATCTTGTAATTATCACATAAATGACCTTAAATAATTATAATTAAATAGCAACATCGCAATTTTTTTCATATGACCTTAAAAAAAGGTTCAAACTATTTTTAGACAAAATGTATTTTCTTTAAACTAATTTTTCTTAATTTTAACAAAATGACCTTAGATGTTAACTGTTTTACATTTGTTGGCATTTTAGACTTAACATTATCCAAAATAAAATAATTGACTGTTTTTCATTAAAAAATCGTGAAAAGGCAATATTTCAAGATTTCATCATAATTTGCCACAAATGACCTTAAAACTGGCAACGCCGCAATGTTAATAACCAATTTTTAACATACTTGACCTAAAGAGTCACTGCTTTTTTTGGCGTAACTATTTTTACCTATTTTGACACGTTTGACCTTGAAATATAGTTACATAATTTAATCTTCTAGGCCCAAACAAATCATGGAAGGCGTCCCGCTAGACAGTCGCAAACGCTTGGCGGAATTCTATCAAAGCCCATCCCCGAAAAAAACGCATTTCGTCGGCCTCACCCCCCTCAAAGAGCTCACCAACATCTCCAGTCCCTCCAACAGACCTTTCAGAGTTTCAATCGAAGGAAACATAGGAGCGGGGAAGTCCACTTTGATAAAATACTTCGAGGGCTTCGAAGGTATCGAGACTAACGCTGTAAGTGGCTAATATTTGGAGTTGGCATTGTCCATTTACTGTGAATACCAAATTTCATCCTCATATCTCAAAAAATCACTGTGTAAGACTTGATGGTAAGGTTTTGGTAATTTTTAGGAACCCATTGATTGGTGGCGAAATCTGGATGGCTATAACCTGCTGGACCTGCTGTACAAAGACATAAACGAGTGGTGCAGGGTTTTTCAAAGTTACGTCTTTTTAACTAGATTGAAACTCCAGTCTGCAAAACCTAAGAATTCGAGTACCACCGTCCAAATGTTCGAAAGGTCCGTCCAAAACAACAGGTTTTGTTTTCTGGAGCAAGCCAGGCAAAGTGGTTATCTCAAAGGGGCTGATTATGCAGTTTTGGACCAATGGTACAGATGGGCTAGAAGCAATGTCGATATAAACTTGGATCTTATAGTGTATCTTAGAAGCACACCTGACGTGGTCTATGAGAGAGTCAAAAGTAGAGCTAGACCAGAGGAAAACACAATTTCTCTCGAATATTTGACACAGTTACATGACAGTCACGAAAAATGGCTGATGACGGAGGATGAACGGTTCAATACTGTGCCAGTTTTAGTTTTAGATGCTGACAAAACTCGAGATGAAGTTTTGGAACAATACAGACTCAATGAAGGCAAAATTTTAGGTAAAAAACAAAAAACATTTTTATATTGTGTATTAACTATTTTTTTATTACAGGACACGATAAAAAAGGTACAAAACACATTACCAAAGAAGACAAATCAAAGGTAAAGAAAACCCTGGACTTGGACTAATACAATACTTAATATATATAACGCACTCAAATAGGTAGGCAACCTACCCACCATAGACTGTAACCAAATCAAATAAATAAATATTTATTTAACTCTTAAAAACGGCATTTATTTTAACACCCTTCAATGCTTCAACCTGTTTCAACCAATCCTCGAAAAACGAAATCCTGGTGTAAACTTTCGGAAAAAATCCGTTAGCACAGTCTGTTTCGAAGGATACCACTCCTATGACAACGTTATTTTGGAATAGGGGCCCACCAGAATCGAAGTTGCAGTCATTTTTGTCGTAGTTTTTACCACAAACCATACTGTTGTCAATTTTGTGGTTCTTGAACATTTTCCGGCATTTTTCGTAGTTAATTAATCTCACATTGGTACTGTATATGTCATCCTTATCCAAATCTATATCGTTAACCTCGGAACTCCACCCCAGAGCCAACGCAGTAGAATTCGCAATGTATTTGTACCTAAAACCAATTTTATTGGGTATCCCACAAGGCTCCCAAATGGGGCCACTGTATTTTGCGTAGCTCACTAACGACTCACCTCGAGCTCGCTATGGCAACAGGTATTTCATAGGCGTCTTTAAACATCTGTCTTACTCGGATTAAACATAGATTATGCGTTGCACTATCAGGGGAATAATTTTTGTGTATGATAACATCCAGAATGTCGTGTGGAACACCCAGTTTCCACTTTGGCGAGTTACTGGAGACTTTAACGTCTTCGCTAGGGTAATCCTTGATGGTGTTGCAACAATGTGCTGTCGATAAAATCCAAAACTTACTTATAATTGTTGTCCCACACATTAATATCAATTTGTTGTATTTTATAGCCACCAAAGCTGCCATGAACTTTGGTTTCTGCGATTTCGATCGTCTAGAATTCACTAGGGATGATAACCGGTTGAATTCCACGTTATTAGGGATGTTGACAACACCCTCCTCGCATTTTTGCTTCAGTTGCATCATAATGCCCATCAATAAAACCATATTGAACAAGGAAATAATAACTAATGTCGATATCGTTACACAGGTTAATGTGGACATTTCTAAGGCTCATGCATGAGTAAGCATTGCATGTACATAGGGGTGAAAAACCCTTCATTCATTGCATGTTTATTTATTTTCACGCAACTGCAACAGAGATAGAAAATAGGTTTACTCCACTACGCAAGGCTAAACTATATTTAAATCTGCGACAAGTCTATTTTTGTTAGTCAGAATTTTTACGCCGTCTATAGGGTATACAGATCTGTTTTGTCCTGTACTTGAAGATGCATGATATAATAATTGTCTATTTCTGTATTTATATGCGTTTTGTTTGTCCCCTTTATGTCCCGATAATATTTAGATGTCTCTATATAGGTTACCTACGCCATGGCATACTTAAAATTCTTGGAGCCGTCTTTACAGTTTATAAATCAAAGTATGCATTATTGCTGAAGCCATTTAAAATGTTGATGTGCAGTTTAGTATATTTTAGTCTGGCGTAGGATGTCCTTAGAGCCTTCAGATGAGGTGAAAACTGGCCCGTGCGAAATATGTAAGATCCCAACCGAAAAAAAATGTTCTACCTGCAAGTTGGTGTACTATTGCTCTCAGGAACACCAAAAGGAGCATTGGAAAGATCATAAGGAAGCTTGCAGACCTTATAAAGTATTAATTTATGTAAACCCAGTTAACCAGTTGTTATCAACGTCATTTTAGGTCTGCGAGTCCCAAGATTTGGGTAAGCATTTGGTGGCAGTTCGTGATCTACAACCTGGCGATGTTATTTTTACCGAAACGCCTTTAGTTTTCGGTCCAAAACCACACAAGATCGAAGAGGGACCGTTTCCTTGCGTTGGCTGCTGCAAGTAAGTACTTCACAGCAAACGGAAAATTATAGAGGTGTATAAGATGACGCCACGTTTGAATATGGTTTTGTATAGATTTGTATTCGTCAGTCGAGCGTTTCAATACTCTCCACAGTATAGAGGTCGTAATTTCTTTTGAACTAGTATGAATATAAAAATTATTTTATGCTTAAAAAAAACTATATACGACATGATTGTGATTTTTTTTCATTTTATTAATTAATTAAGCTGTGTTGAATATTTTTACTAAAGGAATAATTGCCAATGGGCCATTAATTCATTTGTTCGTAGATGCTACAATAACCTGCACTGGTGTGTACTTTTTCATTAACCAGATTTAAATATTGCTGTACTAACATATACCAGTGGAGATAGTGCAGGGTCTACCAACAGACCTCATTACTAAATTATTAAAGTTTAATACTTAGCATATCGATCATTTTTTCAACATAACCTCTGAAATTTTTAATACAAATATATAATACATAAATATACCTAACATCATATCCTCTGTGCTTTACATACCTGAGTTGTTACGGTAAATAAAAATCAGACAAAGGAACCAAAGAAAGGAACTATTTTCAACAAAATCATATGCAGAAATGAGAAAATTCAAACTACTTGCATCCATCAAAAGATCAAAACTTCTTGCAATATTACACCCTCTTTTTATACTCTCAGAAATATTGACTAGAACAGTATTAGAGAGACTCCAGTTTCTATAACTTGGTAGAGTAAAGAGAAGTCGAAACCGTTGCGATATTGCATTGCGCTGTTTTTGTATAATTCTCGGGGACATTAACGAAAATCATTGCCAGTAAAATTCGAAAAGCTTGAGTTTCTAAGTCTCTGAAGAGAATAGGAATCCGAAGTTGCTGCACCATTGGACTGAAACCTTTTTTAATAATTTCTAGAGACATAAATGACTGCACCATTCGACAGGGTCGAGTTTCTACCTCTCTGTTGAATATAGAAAATCAGCCGAAAAATATAAAAACAAAGCACGATTCAATACAGTTATGATAAAACTTATTTAATATTCAAACGCGGAGTCATCCTATACAGTTCTATATTTTTCCGTTTGCTGTGTTACACCTAAAAAACCCCAAATGATTATACATATTTTTAAGGCTTATAGATACCTCTCAGTACAGTAGATGCCCAGAGTGTGTTTGGCCTTGTTGTGGCCCAGATTGTGAGGGACTTAAAGCCCCAAAGCTGCACGGATTCGAATGTAGGGTACTTAGGTTAAGACCCCCCATGGAAAGTGCCTCTTTTTACGAGTACTTTAGGTTCGATGTTCTTATCATATTACGCGCTTTGTACCTGCAAAAATCCAGCAAGGAGAAGTGGAATCATTTGATGAGTTTGGAGAGCCATATGGACAAACGTGGGGAGGATACCGATGTTTATAGGTAAGTATTTTGGTGTAAAAATCAACAAAACCTTAAAAAAAAGTTTAAAGATTAATACAAGAAAAAGTAGCTCATTTGGAGCAGAACTACCTTAAACCATTGAAAGCCTACGAACATGAAATAGGCGAGGAAATTTTGCCTGAGGTATCAAGCGAGGTAATCCACAAAATCTACGCCATATTGGATGTGAATGCTACAGAAACCACGGAAGATTTCGATGCTGAAATTCTATACCCTACAGCTTCCTTGGTAGAGCACAATTGTGTCCCAAACACATCCCAATGCATAGATGAGAAAAACAATTTCCTCGTCACATTTAGAGCTGCTTTGCCAATAGAAAAAGACGCCCATATAACCTCCATTTACACCCATATACTTTGGGGGACGTATGCTAGAAGGCAACACTTAAAGAAGACTAAATATTTCGATTGTCGATGTGATAGATGCAAGGATCCCACGGAGTTGGGGTCTTTGGTTAGTGCTTTGAAATGTATTGGGACTGAGGAGGTGCCTTGTGGGGGAACGCAGTTGCCCCTGAACCCCCTTGACGACGAAACCAACTGGGTTTGCGATACTTGCAACATAGAACTCCCAAATAAGGATATAATGAAGTTTGTTGAGCATCTCAGTGGTGAAGTTGAGAAAGTTATGGTGAAGAATCCTTCTTTATCCGAACTGGAAGATGTTTTGAATAAGTTGATGAATTTTTTGGGCAACAATCACTATTTAGTGTACATTATTAAGCACACCATGGTGCAATTGTACGATAAAGTTGATAGTGATGGTTTGGAGGTATCCAACAGTATTCTGGAGGAAAAATTGAGGATGTGCGAAAATTTGATTGATATCAGCAAGAGGTTAGATCCAGGGAACTCCAGGTGAGAATGTATGTACCCAGAGAACCATGTCAGGGTAAAACTTGGCCAAGAATTGCCCTTCATCTTTGGAATTTTGTAACGTGATAACGAGCTACTTCATAAGTAAGACAAAATTACCCCTTACAGAAAATTGAATGCTCTACGAAAAAAGTCTGATTGACATTTTGCGTGAGTCAAGCCGCTTCAAAGATATCGAGCCTCAAACTTCGGACTGTTTTATTTTTATGCAGTTTTTGTGCTATCACGTTGGAAAATCATTTGCATAAAATATGTCAATTTTTGGTCAAACTTAACGAAAATTATATGTCCAAATAAACCCTAATAAACGTAAAATATCGTACACAAACCATGGTTCTCTGGGTATTCTCTCTTGTATTTATCTGGTCCATAATGCAACTCTTCTTCTTGTAGATTAAACTTATACCTAGCTGTTCTCTTGAACGAGTATTTTAATGCTAAGCTGAAAATCTTCGAGAGGGCTTTCGACAGTGAAAAGAAGGATGAGTACAACACAAGTCTGAAGGAGTTGCTGGCCATTCTAGAGGGCAACAGAAGGGTTTTGCAAAACGAACTCAAATCTGTAGCGGGTTCAAAACTCAACCAATTAGTTTGCGAGAACGAGTTGAAGTTATTAAACTGGATACACGAAAATAAAATAGATGTATAATAAAAACTACATTCTTCCGGAAAATAAATTGTTGGCAATTAGCCAGGCTATATTATTCTATTAAAACTTATATTACACAGTCGTTCCCCTCCCAACTTGCTATTTTTAGACGCATCGCTCCCATTTCTCTTGCGGTATTTCCATAACATGTAAAATTTGTGCACGGTATTTTTTTTGATAATAAAAATGGGTGATTTGTGTGCTGAATGTAACCAACCGGCTGAACTTAAATGTTCGGCGTGCAAGTTGGTTTCCTATTGTGGTAAGGATCACCAGAAATCCCATTGGAAGACGCATAAAACTTTGTGCAGACCTTTTGAGGTAAGTTTAAAACCAACTGTAGTCTGTTAAAAATATCATACACACAATTAAATTTAATTAATTTTAACACACAATTCTGAAATCATCAAATTATAAAGAAATTTGCTACAACAGTACAACACTGTTAAAAATTTCTATTGTAATTTTACTAAACATGTTTGTAGTTTTTACGGACCACAATATAGTAATAATAAAACTCAGTTTTGTAAATTCACTACACGATTCATTACAAATTAATTTGGGAAAATTATAAAACGTTTGTTGAAATTCACTAAGCATTTATTAAAAATTTGTTCAGTAACATTACTATACAGGTATTGTTATTTTGCTAAAAAAATACTAAATATGTTTGGTAATTTTAAAATGGTGTATTGTAATTATACTATACAATTCATTTCAACTCAGTTTAATAAAATTACAAAATATATTTTACAATTTTACTGAACTGAAGAAAATTCTTTTCGCAATATTTCAATACAAATATTGTAATTTTGTATAACAAATTATACTAGAAACTTTCTTGACCCATTACTGTAAATCATACCATATACCTAAATTCAACCGTTTCTGAAATATTTAAATTATTTTTAATATAATAAGTTGAAATAGTTTGTCTTTCTCTGTCTGAGTACGCCATTTTTACTTATTTAACAACACTAATTGACATAATGTCACTATAGTAATTTATTTTCAATAAAAATTTTGGTATACTGAGGCTTCTTGATTTTTAACAGTTTAAAAAAACATGTAATGATGACATTTCGAATGCGAATATTTCAGAAACGGTTGAATTTAGGTATATGGTTTGTATATAAATTATGCTTAGAATTTTACAAGGAATCGAAAAATAAATTCAAATATAGGGTGATCCATTGAAAAACAATAAACTTTTTGTTTTTCCCTGTATACTGATCAATTTTCCAATTTTCTTTATACGTAGAAAAAAAGTATTTTTTAGTTTCTACATAACCACACTTTTAATTTTTTTGGGACACTTAAAATAAAAAAGTTAAAGGGGGGCGACATTATAGGGGATCACCCTGTACAAGATGTTTGGGCAGATGTGGTGCAGCAATACTTTTATAAAGAAGCAATTTGGTGTACCTACATAGACAAATTTTTACCAACTCTGACAATAAAGTTTAATTTTATTTTTTTTGAGAATTTTCTCATTATGTACTCTGCATGAGGCTGAAAACTAAAATTATTGTCAAATAACACACCTAAATATTTAATTTGATTTTCTTGTACTATTATATAGCATCATTTATTACTATTTCTTTGTTACTAGTATCGATTTCACTTAATTTATATTTTCTCCCAAACATAACCATTTGAATATTTTATGTAGATTTGAATTTATATGTTGTTCCATAATCTTTAAGTCAGTACCAGTTATATATATCATGGTATCATTAGCAAATATTTCTATTTTACATACACTTTATCATTTACATTCGACAAAAATAAAAGTGGACCCAATACAGTACCTTGAGGCACTCCACTCCAATCAGACATAACATTATTATATTTCACTCTTTGCTCTCTATTACGATTTAAGTATGATTTCGTTAAAATAACTTTGTTTAGGTTCAAGAAAACAAGGATATTGGAAAATGTCTTGTCGCAACTCGCGACTTGAGTCCAGGAGATGTAATTTTGACAGAAGTGCCATTGGTTATGGGACCAAGGCCTCATATGGTCGAAGAAGGGCCCGTACCATGTCCTGGATGTTGTCGGTAAGCACTATTATTCATTTTTAAAAGTAAAAAACACATTTTATGTAACTTAATTTTTAGACTTATTATCGGGGAAACATCCGGTAGATGCGAAGGTTGCGATTTCCCAGTATGCCACCCAGGTTGTCCAGGTTTAAAAGACATGGAAAAACACGGGCACGAATGCGTGGTACTGGGTTTACGCGACGTAACCGCCATCAATGGGTTACACGAGTTCTACAGGCAAGATGCCCTGTTGGCCTTGAGATGTTTGCTGTTGCAAAAAAGACACCCCAAAAGATTCGCGCAGCTACTCGAGATGGAGAGCCATATGGAGAGAAGGGGGCCAAATTCTGACATTTACAGGTAAGAAGCCGAATAAACCCATGGGAAAATATGTAAAATATAAAAAAATTGTAGGGATGTCGATGAACGAGTTGCAGACTACCTGCACAGCAATTTTTTCGACCCCATGAGGATTCTGGAAGGAAGAACCGGTCAGAAGGTATTGCCAGATGTTTCCAGAGAAACCATCCACAAAGTATGCGGTATAATCGATGTAAACGCATTGGAAATCAACCAAAACGCAGAGGTGTCAGCGTTGTACCCCACGGCTTACCTCATGGAGCATAGCTGCCTCTCAAACACCTCACACACGTTTGATAGCGAGTCAAATGGTTACAAAATCACTATAAGGGCTGCATTGCCCATTAAAAAAGGCGATCACATAACCACAATGTATACCCATGCTCTATGGGGCACACAAGCTAGAAGGGAACACTTAAGGGAAACCAAATACTTCTCCTGCAAATGTCAGAGATGCGTTGACCCTACAGAGTTGGGCTCTTATCTAAGCGCCTTAAAATGCATGGGTACCAGTGATGAACCTTGTGGTGGCGTACAACTACCCTTGGATGCGTTGGATGATAGCACCGAGTGGGCTTGCAATCAATGTGAGGTTAGGTTGTCGAACCACGAAGTCAGTTTTCTGGTGAGTTAAGTTGTAATGCTTCTGGATATATTTTAATTTTTTATCGTAGGTGAACCAAATTGGCGAAGAGGTTGATAATGTGCAACTCTCAAATCCCACTGTAAGGGAGTTGGATGCCCTTCTGACAAAACTACAAACATTTTTGCACCCAAATCACTACCATTCTTATTCTGTGAAACATTCTTTAATTCAGTTGTATGGATATCAGCAGGGTTACATGCCCAGTCAAATAACAGATGACTGTCTAGTCAAAAAGGCAACTATGTGCAGAGAGCTGTTGGAAATCACTAGAAAAATCGACCCCGGTAATGCTAGATTACCATTGTATACGGGGGTTATCCTCCACGAGCTATATTTAGCCAATATGATCCTGATCAAGAGGAAATGGGATTTGGGTATGAAGACTAGGGTTAAATCGATCATAACTCTTTTAAGGGAGTGCAAAAAATGCCTGGAGGAAACCAAGGGGGTCCTGAAAAACGAAACAACCACACCTGCCGGTAAAAAACTCAATGACCTGGTGAACACCTCTTTTAAGGAGTTTTGTAAGTTCGTGGAGAGGAACAAAATTGATCTGAATCGGGAAGAAATAAAAGAATAATGAATTGTAATCTATTTATTAACATTAAAATGCATACTTAAAATCTTCTATGTGTATCATTAAATTTAACTTTGGTCGATAACTGTTGATCTCTAACCCGTCTCTGGTCGAAATATGCACAAACTATGGGGCTATCTTTTTCGTAGTCTTACCTCATGGAGCATAGTTGCCTCTCAAACACCTCACACACGTTTGATAGCGAGTCAAATGGTTAAAAAATCACTATAAGGGCTGCATTGCCCATTAAAAAAGGTGATCACATAACCACAATGTATACCCATGCTCTATGGGGCACACAAGCTAGAAGGGAACACTTAAGGGAAACCAAATATTTCTCGTGCAAATGTCAGAGATGCGTTGACCCTACAGAGTTGGGCTCTTATCTAAGCGCCTTAAAATGCATGGGTACCAGTGATGAACCTTGTGGTGGCGTACAACTACCTTTGGATGCGTTGGATGATAGCACCGAGTGGGCTTGCAATCAATGTGAGGTTAGGTTGTCGAACCACGAAGTCAGTTTTCTGGTGAGTTATGTTGTAATGCTTCTGGATATCCAGACTTTTAATATTTTATCGTAGGTGAACCAAATTGGCGAAGAGGTTGATAATGTGCAACTCTCAAATCCCACTGTAAGAGAGTTGGATGCTCTTCTGACAAAACTACAAACATTTTTGCACCCAAATCACTACCATTCTTATTCTGTGAAACATTCTTTAATTCAGTTGTATGGATATCAGCAGGGTTACATGCCCAGTCAAATAACAGATGACCGTCTAGTCAAAAAGGCAACAATGTGCAGAGAGCTGTTGGAAATCACTAGAAAAATCGACCCCGGTAATGCTAGATTACCATTGTATACGGGGGTTATCCTCCACGAGCTATATTTAGCCAATATGATCCTGATCAAGAGGAAATGGGATTTGGGTATGAATACTAGGGTGAAATCGATCATAACTCTTTTAAGGGAGTGCAAAAAATGCCTGGAGGAAACCAAGGGGGTCCTGAAAAACGAAACAACGACACCTGCCGGTAAAAAACTCAACGACCTGGTGAACACCTCTTTTAAGGAGTTTTGTAAGTTCGTGGAGAGGAACAAAATTGATCTGAATCGGGAAGAAATAAAAGAATAATAAATTGTACTATATTTATTAACATTAAAATGCATACTTAAAATCTTCTATGTGTATCATTGAATTTAACTTTGGTCGATAATTGTTGATCTCTAACCTGTCTCTGGTCGAAATATGCACAAACTATGGGGCTATCTTTTTCGTAGTCTTCAAAATCGGAGTCATTACAGAAACAACACATAACTTTCATCATAAAATCGTAGCTCTTCTTCAGAAATGTTATGGTTTGATTTAGGAAGGTATATAGTAAAGGATTTAGAGCGCAGTTTAAAATGTTTAGAGATAGCAAGGAGAAGTTAAGATTCCATGTGCTTCTGCTATGATTCGAATCGTTTTTATACGGATATAATAGTTTTTTTAGGTTCATAGCTAAATATGGTAGTCTGCATGTTATAAACACCATCATAAGCATGATAACAATCCTGAAGGTCCTTATTTTTCTCTCCATTTGTACGTTTTTGGTCTTCTTCATTATAGATTTAGGTACAGTATTACTATTATTCGTCAATTCGGTTGATTTGGTGTTTCCAGATTCCAACTCAGATATACCCTTATTGTACTTTGACTGCAGTGGCTTTCTGTGCCTCCAAATTGACACGGCTATGTTGTAATAGAACCATAGAAAAACCACGAACAGTGGTAAAAATATGAATGTGCACATCAATGCAAAATATATCCCCACTGAACCTTTGACCACGGTTACACATAGGGCAGCTTTCTGCAATTTAGGGCAAGGATCGCCCTTGAACATTTCAACTATAACTAAAGATTCGTAGCTGTAATAATGGTATAGAGGGTACGCCAGAACTGCAAGAGTTAAATCGTTTGGTTAGTTTTTAATAACACAATCTTTTTCAATGTTGGGGTGCTAGTTTTTGGAACCTCTTGGTTGTGAAACGTTTTAGGAGCACAGCATAGGGCATGCTTGATTTTCTCCATCACAAACATAGATTCGTGTAGAAACGTATAAAGAAACGGGTTTAAAGCACAATTAAAGACGTTAAAGCATAGCAAACTATAGTAAATTTTCTGCAACATAATGTTTTGTTTACTGTCAGTGAAGTTCTTATAGTTGGCATTGAATAACACCATAATTTGAAAAGGTAATCGGCAAAAAATAAAGGCCAACATCAGCACTATTATGGCTCTAAATGTTTTGACTTTCTTGTTGTCTTTTTTGTTATCCTGTACAGGTTTCCTATGCTTCCAAAGTAGCGACGCTATTTTGTAGTACAACCAGATAAATATTAGAAATAAAGGCCAAAATATAAGGCAACATTTCAAGCCCAAATAAATTGACATTTCAACCTTTTTGGTGCTAATACAAAAGTGTGTTTCTTCCAAATAATCATCATAGATTAACACGGCGGGAAAATATTCAAAGTAAAAGTACATTGGAATCGCTAGAGCTAAAACAGACCAAGTATTAGCACCAAATATTCTGTACTCGAAAAAGTTCTCATCAAATGGTGATAAAAAAGAATCAGTGAGAACTTTTTTGAGAATCTAACGTACAGGGGATGATAGTTTACGCAAAAGATGGGCAGCTACTGGTGCACCAATAAAAAAGCCTAAACTATCATCACCATAAGGAGGGATAACTTATTAAATTTACCTGAACATATAATCCATACTATAATAACTCCAAGTAAGCATTTGATTAAAGAAGGTGTCCATCTTTTTTTTAAAGCATATATAACATTTTGATACCTATCGAGTGCTATGGTAAATAGTGCTACAGAGCTAGCAGTTGTTCCAGCTATTTGCGCCATTGGTATAAAGTGGCATAAAAATTCACCAAGGCTCTAAAAATAGTAAATTTTATTATAGGAGATCGAAAGTTTTTTGATGGGCAGTTTCCAATTTTAACCAAGGTATAAAAAACATGTTTTATTTAACACCCATTTTATTTCTTACCTTGCGGTTGTTGAATAAGTTATTATGTGCGACAAATTCACACAGTGGGATAAATTTATAAAATGGTGGGATAAATTCGCACAATGGGACAAATTAAAAAAATATGGAGGACAAATTTGCACAGTGGCCTAAATTTAAAAAATGGTAGGATAAATTCGCACAGTGGGACAAATTTAAAAAATGATGGGACAAATTTCCAAATTTTTTAAAATTATTTTTTTTTTTGAATTTTGTAAATTTAAAAAATTGTGAGAAAAATTGGCACAGTGGCATAAATTTAAAAAATGACAAATTACCAATTTTTTTTAAATTAATTGTTATTTAGAAAAAATACCTTGTGATATAATATAACCTCAAATATTGAATATATTATGAGATCGAATTCGGATTTAGCACGTCAAAAATATAGTCTGTTTGATTTACCTACTCTTAAAAAGGTATAATGAAATAAATAGATATAGCTTACCCATATAAAGTATTCATGATTGAGGCCGTCTAAATGGTTCAAAGAATAAATAGTTGCTGTAAATATATCCGATATAGCTAGAGAAATAATGCAAGTTTTTTGTAAAATTTTGCATTTTCTCCTGCTGATTGAATAAATTGCTGAAACATTTCCGATTATCGTAAAAACCCATATTAGTAAAATTATCCAGAAAAATGTCGTTCTTGTTTCTACAGATAGAACATCTAATGAACTAGTGGGTACATAGGTCACATTGGGCTGAAATAAAAGTGTTTTGTTAATACCCTGTAAGTTTGTAATAATTATTGCTAAAATTATAAATAATACCTCTATAATAATTGAAGAATCATTACAAAAAACCGAGTTATTCATTTTCATTGTTTTATCACCAACCCCAATTACAAACTAAATATAATTTGACACGAAAATTAATTAAAATATTAGATAGTCACAATAGAACAATTTTTGATTACTTACCTCTTCAATAGTAGTTAAAACAGTACAATTTTCGTCATTACTTGACATTTTTTCTCTCCTAAAAAGTTAGAACAACATTAATATAATAATTTATCAGAAAGCTTTACCATTTGTTTTGGATATCAGCAATGCTGATTCAGCATCTATTTTTTATCAATTATTGTCTGCAAAGTACAATTTATTTTTATTATGTTGGATTACTGAAAAGCTTAAAGTATTATTACCTTTGATAAGCTTTCATTAATCATGTGCTAATTTTTTTAGGTCAAATATACAGGGTGGAAACTTTAACGGGATTGGGCCCGAGTGAGCTTGAGAGTGAGTGATTAATTAAATTAGTGCCTAGAAAAAATTATTTAAATCAAATATTTGTCAAATTTTTAAACCGGTTAAATACGATATAGAAGCAGTTTTTCACAGTGAAAGTGAAGAGAATGTCTCCAAAAAACGGACATTTAAACTTTTTAAATATTGGCGTTGGGAAACTATTTAATAATTTTGTATTTTTGTATTGAGATAATAAAATAATTTTCACATTTCGTATTATTTTACAAGAAAGGCATTTTATTTTAACGATTGTATGACATTTGACAACCGTCAAACTTCAGCCCGTGACTAAAAACCTGTTGCTAACTTTCTTCTGGCTAAATTTAAAAACCGAATAGTTTTTGAACATTATAATTATACAATGTGCTTAAAACTTTTTAAAAACTATTTTTTTTCTTAAAAAAGTCGTTCGCAATTTTTTCTATCTCAAAATACAGATTAACTGTACAACATGTAAACACATAAAATAAATAGATGCATATGGTTTTGTGTAAATAAGATAAAAAAGTTGTTATAAAACATTTATTTAATAAAAAATCTTGAAGTCTTAAAACACTTAAAAATACCCCTTAAATATGTTTCAAATGCGTTAAAATGTAGGACCTTGTGAAAATAATTATTTCATCAAGTTTGGTCTATGAATTTTTTTTTGTGGCAGAATGGTAGGGTGTGTATTTGCACCAAATCGTATGACAAAGTTTTTCCTTTGGGTTTTTTAACTGTCACTTGTATAATATAGTTTTTGCCTGGTTTTAGATGGCTTATCCTTTCAGTTACAACTTGCCTAAAAATAGTGTATTAGATTTGTTAGAGGTCACCAAAAATCACCTACTCTTTTTCATGGGTTATATCTTTGCAGTATTTTAGAGTGTAATCCGCAGATTTCCTTAATCTATTCTCCAAACCACATTGGTTTGGCATTTTGTAGTTTTCCATTTCGCGTATTTTTCCTTCCTTCACCACAAGGCAGTAATGAGCGGATTTTTGATCAGGAGATGATAGCCAACCAATCGTAACACTATCACATTTCCTTAGAGAAATATATTCCTTCACAATAGGCTCGTTGGGCATACTGGGTAAAGGTGTTTTGGAAAATGATTTTGTCGTAGCATATATCTAAAATATGTACAAACCCCTAGAAAAATAATCTTTCCAAAATCCAATCATTACCTCAACACCAGATGTCTTCCTGAACTCTTCCCTATTACTGGTATAAACCTTTATCCTATACCTGGACTTCACCAACGGCGAGCTGATCCGAACCTTCCCGAAACCTTCAATCCTCTTTTTCAAGGCTATCACCTCACCTTTAAGATTGACTTCGACATCAACAGCGCCCCCACACGGCATTATGAACAACTCCAAGGAGGACTCGGTTCTTCTGTTGACCTTGAACTTGAAGACAGCCCTTCCGTCCAGCTTCCTAAGGTTCGTGAAGGTCGACTTCCCGTCCTTTAAGGTGATGGCCTTTGTTCGCCTGTCGAAGACCATGTGGGCCTTGCCGTGGGGGTACGTTAGGTTTGACTGCTTGTTTAGGGCGAAAACGTCGAAGTAATAGTTTTGGCCTTGCCGTAAGTCCGACAAAGTGTACTGCGTTTTTTTCTCGATGCATATGATGGCTGGGTCTTCATGATCGTCTGGAAATAGGTTGGTTTTGAAGGTTATAAGTGGCAAATTTTGACAGTAAGCCTTTGGTAATATATGAAGAGGTTAATAATGTAAAAGTATCATTTCATGACATTTTCAAGGTCATACTTGACAATTTTCAAATTTAAAGGCTATAAATGTTAATTTCAATTTTAATATAAAAATATTTGTTGTGCAAAAATTAAAAAGATAAAATAATAAAAATATTCAAGGCCATAGTTGTCATTTTTAAAATTTAAAGGCTATAATGTTAATTTTTGACGTAATAACCTTTAATTATTTAAATCACGACAAATGATTTCTCGACTTTTGCAAAGCTTTTCAAAGGTAAATTTTGATATTTTGATAATTTTTTCACTAAATAAGGTTTTATTATCATCCGATTTTTTATAGTTTACAAGGTTTTATTTGGTCAATTTTAATAATTTCAAGGCCATAAACGAACATTTTTAAATACTGTGTCAGGTAACATAAAAATTAAATTATGATAGTTTAAAATGTCATTTTTAAAGTCATAATTGTCAATTTTTTAAATTTAAAGGCTAAAATGATAATTTTTTATTTAATAATCTTAAACTAAACTGCTCGTCATAAAAAACGACCCACCTAGTTTTTTGGAAAATATTTGAAAGCTCGTTATTGGAAAATTACTGAATCGATTTTGAAAATCTTTGAAAATTCTGAATAGCTGATTCTTTGACTCTTATGTCTAATTTTGGAAATACGATATTTTGCACATAGCATTATACTACAGGGTGTTAAACGAAGAGATGCATTTTTTTCGAAATTTCAAGTTATTCCCATTCATAGGGCAGTTGACTTTGATAGTCGTAATACCCCTCCCTGATATAAGTTGGGTTATCCCTCGGAACGTTTTCGAGATTTTGTGGATATCTTGGCTAACTACGATTATATGCCAATTTTTTGAAAATTGTCCTTATTCCCCAGTTTAGTCCAAAAAATGAGCAAAAGTGGATTCTTTGACTTACGTCTAATTTTGGGAATACGATATTGTGTACATGACACTATACTACAGGGTATTAAAAAAAGAGATGTTTTTTTCCAAAATTCCAAATCCCCATTCACAGGGCAGTTGTGCTTGATAGTCGTAATACCCCTCCCTAGTAACAGTTAGGTAATCCCTCGGGACGTTTTCGAGATTTTGTGGATATCTTGGCTAACTACGATTATATGGCAATTTTTCGAAAATTGTCGTTATTCTCCATTTTAGTCCAAAAAATTAGCAATAGTTGATTCTTTGACTCTTATGTCTAATTTTGGGAATACGATATTGAGCACTTAGCTACATACTACAGGGTGTTAAAAAAAAGAGATGTTTTTTTTTCCAAAATTCCAAATCCCCATTTACAGGGCAGTTGAGCTTGATAGTCGTAATACCCCTCCCTAATAACAGTTAGGTAATCCCTCGGCACGTTTTCGAGATTTTGGGGATATCTTGGCTAACTACGATTATATGCCAATTTTTTGAAAATTGTCGTTATTCTGCATTTTAGTCCAAATAATGAGCAATAGTTGATTCTTTGACCCTTATGTCTAAGTTTGGGAATACAATATTGTGCACAAGCATGCTACTACAGGGTGTTAATAAAAGGGATGTTTTTTTCCAAAATTCCAAATCCCCATTCACAGGGCAGTTAAGCTTGATAGTCCTAATACCCCCCTAATAACAGTTAGATAATCCCTCGGAACGTTTTCGAAATTTTGTGGATATCTTGGCTAACTACGATTATATGGCAATTTTTCGAAAATTCACGTTATTCTCCTCTTAAGTCACAAAAATGAGCAAACTACGGAAGGTATCTATTAGTTATCAACACAGAGTTTTAAGGTAGGTAACGTGCTTTCAGTTTATGTACGTTGCGTGATTCATTAAATCTGAAATTTTTTACACGAAAGCAATTTTTTTTGGTGAAATTCAAAATAAAAACGCAAACCAAACAGCATTATTCTCGTAAACTTATGCAGGCTATATTCATGCAATTTTCTACAAACGGTTGAGCATGAAAGTTTAAAAAATATGGTGCATATCTGGTTTTGACTTTCATCGCTTCAATTATTGTTGTCATTTTTTTCGTCGAAGATGAAAATATTTTTGCTATGCTATGTGCACAATATTGTATTCCCAAACTTAGACATAAGGGTCAAAGAATCAACTATTGCTCATTATTTGGACTAAAATGGAGAATTACGACAATTTTCAAAAAATTGCCATATAATCGTAGTTAGCCAAGATATCCCCAAAATCTCGAAAACGTCCCGAGGGATTACCTAACTGTTATTAGGGAGGGGTATTACGACTATCAAGCTCAACTGCCTCGGTAAATGGGGATTTGGAATTTTGAAAAAAAAATCTCTTTTTTTTAACACCCTGTAGTATGTAGCTAAGTGCACAATATCGTATTCCCAAAATTAGACATAAGAGTCAAAGAATCAACTATTGCTCATTTTTTGGACTAAAATGGAGAATATCGTCAATTTTCGCAAAATTGCCATATAATCGTAGTTAGCCAAGATATCCACAAAATCTTGAAAACGTCCCGAGGGATTACCTAACTGTTACTAGGGAGGGGTATTACGACTATCAAGCACAACTGCCCTGTGAATGAGGATTTGGAATTTTGGAAAAAAACATCTCTTTTTTTAACACCCTGTAGTATAATGTCATGTACACAATATCTTATTCCCAAAATTAGACGTAAGTCAAAGAATCCACTATTGCTCATTTTTTGGACTAAACTGGGGAATAAGGACAATTTTCAAATAATTGGCATATAATCGTAGTTAGCCAAGATATCCACAAAATCTCGAAAACGTTCCGAGGGATTACCCAACTTATATCAGGGAGAGGTATTACGACTATTAAAGTCAACTGCCCTATAAATGGGAATAACTTGAAATTTCGAAAAAAATGCATCTCTTCGTTTAACACCCTGTAGTATAATGCTATGTGCAAAATATCGTATTCCCAAAATTAGACATAAGAGTCAAAGAATCAGTCATTCAGAATTTTCAAAGATTTTCAAAATCGATTCAGTAATTTTCCAATAACGAGCTTTCAAATATTTTCCAAAAAACTAGGTGCGTCGTTTTTTATGACGAGCAGTTTATTTAAATCACGTTAAAAAATGATTTTTAAGAATTGCCAAGCTTTTTAAAGGTAATTTTTGATATTTTTAAGGTCACATATGTCAAATTTAAAATTCTTCAAGGGTAGGTAACATATAAAATGACAAACGTCATAAATTAATAGTTTTAAATGACATTTCGTAATTGCCAATTTTTTTAATTTAAAGGCTATATGTAAATTTTTAACGATATGACCTTAAATTATTAAAAACCATGATAAAAATAATGTATGATAGTTGTCGAGCTTTTCAAAGTCAATTTTGATATTTTTAAGGTCATACATGTCAAATTCTCCAAGGCAAAGTAACATAAAATAAATAAAAAGTTTTAAAAATGTCAAAATCAAATTATGATTTACAAGTAAATATAACTTTTCACCTTTATAATCCTTTTCATGCCAAAAATGCAATTTTTTATGGTTTTTTAAGGTCAATTTTATTTTTTTAAGGTCATTTTAAAAGTCATAAACGTAAAATTGAAATACTAAAGTATCAAATTAGGATTGTTTAAAGTAACATTTTTAAGGTCATAATTATATTGGCCATATGAATTATAATTAATATTAAGTATTAAAAAGTTTAAAATGAAATTTTTAAAGTCATAATTGTCAATTTTTTCAATTTAAAAGCCATAAGTGTTAATTTTTCACTTAATAACCTTAAATCGATTAAACCATGCCAAAACGCCATTTTTATGGTTTAAAGGTTTAAGTGGTAAATTTAAATGTTATCAAGGTCATAAACGTAAAACTTTAAATGTTTCGTCAGTTAACATGTCAATGTCAAAATTAAACTATAAATTATAAGTTAAAATAAATTTTAAAGGTCATAATTGTCATTTGTTCACCTAAATAACCTTCAATTACTTAAACCATGCAAAAATGCAATTTTGTATAGTTTTCAAGGTTTTAAGTGGTCAATTTTATTATTTACAAGGTCATTTAAAACGCCATACACGTACAATTTAAAATACTTCGTCGGTTAAAAGTATTGAAATTTAAAGGCTATAAATGTAAATTTTTAACATAAATAACCTTAAATTATTTAAATCATGTTATAATATTGATTTTTAACAGTTTTGAAGCTTTTTAAATTAAATTTTAATATTTTTAAGGTCATACATGTCAAATTACATTCTTTAAGGCATTTGAAGTGATAAGAAAGTTTTAAAAAGGTATTATATTTGATTAAAATAAATTCTGAAGATCATAATTGATATTTTTTTACTTTAATACCTTTCAATTACCTAAACCTTGTTAAAAAAGCGATTTTTTTTTTATGGTTTTAAGGTTTTAAGTGGTCAATTTTAATATATTTAAGGACATAAACGAATTTTTTTAAAAACTTGGTCAGGTAAGATAAAAATGTAAAAGTATCGAATTATGTTAGTTTGAAATGTCATTTAAGGTCATAATTGTCATTCTTTTTCAATTTAAAGGCTATACATGTTAATTTTACTTAATAGCCTTAAGTTGTCAAGCTTTTAAAGGTAAATTTTGATATTCTTAAGGTCATGCACATGACCTTATGTATATGAAATTATGAAAAAAAAATTATCATTTACAAATTAAAACTTTCAAGGTCATCATTTGTTTCCTAAATACTCTTAAATTAATTAATCCAAATCAAAAAGTTTTTAAACATACAAATTTAAAGGCTATGAATGGATTTTTTCACCTTAATAACCTTAAATTATTTTAATTAATTTACAAGATTAAAATTTCATTTTCAAGTAGGTATTTTCTAAAATGTTTTAACGAAAAAATCCTTAATTTTTGGCATAAATGACCTTACAATAATTTTTAACAGGATTATTTAGATTTATCAATTTTAAAAGGTTTTTGACATTTTTAAAGGTCAAAAGCGTGAATTCTTGACATAAAATACCTTAAAAAATGTTGACATTTATGGCCTTGAAAATAACAAATATATTTTATATATTTGACATTTTAAGATGTCAAATATTACAAATAATACTGTTTTAAGATTTTTTTACCGAAATACTCATTAGGTTGATATGAAATAACGGTCTGTGAAGCTGACACTGGTAATTTTAAATTTTTCTGAAATTCTACACCAAATTTATCGGATAGGGCCCCACACAAGGCCCCGTAGTGACCTCTGGAACTGACTATCAAACAGTACTCGGTACTTTGAGGATCAACCAAACTAAAACAAAATAAAAACAGTTTATCAAATGAACTGCGTGTGCAGTGTGTAGTACACACTGTGTACTGTATATAACAGGACGTATCGCCTTTTATAAAATATGGTAGTGTTTGATATGTAATGTTACCTCGGTTCCCATCTCACAGTGAGTCTTCTTCTTCTATGGCGTTTCATTAGTTTCAGTTCTTGGTATTTTGAATTTTCAATTGCTTGTGGACCATTAGGTTCGGTTGATATGTATATGTGTATGTAAGAGTCTTTTTCAACAGATGTTATGTTGAGTATGTATAGTCCTTTTAAGGATTTAAAGTGAATGGTTTCCATACTGCTGGTCAATGAGGGTTTTTGGGGGAGAATTGTTTCTAAAAATGCATAATAAGTAAAATACTTCATTTACGAGCTACGAGTATAACCATTATTTTGATGGGGTGCCATATACCATTCTACCTTAGAAGAACAAGTAATAATGGTAGCAGATAAGGGTAGATTATGTACCGTAGACCAGTAGAAGAACCTGAAAAAAAAACATTTTTTACAAAGCAAGTCCCAGACGATACCACAAAATTGAAACAAAATTAACGTACAAAAAATAGGCAAAAACCCACCAAAATACATTGTATCGTCGATGCAACGTATCTTTGACAAAACAAGACGTAGGTATAAGTAAAATGTCGCCGTTGATTGATTTAATAGCCACCTTAATCCATTATTCATAGGATGGATTTATGTTCGAACCGATATTAAAACGAATGATTGACAGAAGCCACACACTGAACTAAAGAAACTATTTGCGAATTCAACGTTTTTTCCAGCGACTCTCATGAGCAGACTTAAACTCAAATGCTTGGGAATCTTTTAACAAAGAATCCGATTGAGATGTAAGAACAACGCTGGTCAGCAGCCTTTTTGCCGTAAGGTGGATGACAGCTTTTCCATTGAAAGGCTATGGACACGAGAGCCTAAAGGTCATAAGTGATAATTGCCAAATTTTCAATTTTTTGAAATCTAGTGTGCTATTCGTTGGATTATTTGTTGACGTAACAACCATAAACAATTTTTCAATGTACTAAGGTCATTTACATACGTTTGTGGCCTTAAAATTTATTTCTTAAGGTCGCAGCTCTCAAATGTATATAAATAAAAATTCACACTTAAACAAAAATGTTAAATTTTAAGGCTATTGTTGTCAATTTTGTATGTCTAAACGTCACCAAAAATGTAAAGTGTTTACATATGTAGTCTTAAAAATCCTATTCTTAAGGTCACAGCAATTTATATATTTTTTATTTAATATTGCAATGTCAACACTTTTAAATTTTCAATTATTTTTGAAATATAATCAAGGCCGCAAACGTTATTTTTTAACAAATTCTTTTTATGTAAATGTGTTATGCAATCAAAAATGTATCAACAATTTAAACAAAACAACAGATATTTCAACATTTAACAGATATTTTAAGGTCATTTACATTTAAAAAAATGTGTAGCCTTAAACTTTATTTATTAAAGTCAAAGCTATCAAATTTTGACAACTATAAGGTCGTTAGATTTAAAATTCACAATTAAACAAATCTTTTAAATTTTAAGGCCATTGTTGTTTAAATGTCACCAAAAATGGTTGTTAACATAAAAGTTTAAAAAGCGTGTTTATTTTTTTTATGAGGTTATAAACATTATAATGTAGTCTTAAAAATCCTTTTCTTAAGGTCACAGCTGTCAAATTGAGCAACCTCGTCTTAAAAGTATCAGAAACTGTTATATATAACTTTTTATTCATTATTGTTTTCTTGTGGCCTTAAAATTTTATTTATTAAGGTTGCAAATGCAAATAAGGTCGTTGGATCAAAAATTAACACTTAAAGTTAAATTTTAAGGCTATTATTAGTTGTCAATTTTTGATTTTCAAACGTCACCAAAAATCATTGTTAACATACAAATTAAAAAACCGTGTATATTTTTGCATGAGGCCACAAATGTTATTTTTATCAAAATCTTTATAAAAAGCAGTCGAAAATGTATCAACAATTTAAACAATACAAATTAAGTGTCAAAATTAACAGATATTTTAAGGTCAATTACATTTAAAAAATGTGTGGCCTTAAAATCTATTTATCAAGGTCAAAGCTGTAAAATTTCGAAAATTATAAGGTTGTTAGATCTAAAATTCATCCTTCTTACCTGGGTAGTCTTTTAGTTTGCATATTGTTTTGTGTGGTGTACCTATATAGGAACAGTTATCTTTTTCAAATTCAAATGTTTGTAAGGAGTGTAATTTGAAACTCGGCAATAATAAAATGTGTATTTTTAGTGGATATTCCTAGACGATAGATAAAAATCGTGGAATTTAAATTTTATGACACGTGTCCACTATTTTGTCTCTTTTATGGGTGTATGCACAAAGATTAGTTCAAATTTTTTGGTACATTGAAATTTTTTTTTTAAATTTAATAATTAAAAAACTATTTTAGATACCAGTTTAAAATTTGTATCATTTTATTATGACTACAAGACATATCTTTCATTAAAATTTTGTTGTTGTAAGTAAGGTCTAAGTCACTTTTTATCGATTTTTTCGTAAAGATTTCACTATTTACGCGTTGCACATTATAGGTCGAAGGAGTCGGCGCACAAAAACCAAATTCGGTGAAAATGTGCACAAGGACCATAATTTGAAGTGATTAGGAGTCTTCCAACCCTACAAGTTTTTTAAAAAAATTCTTTTTCGATTTTTTTTTGAAAATGTTTGAATTTTTTTTTCTCCAAAACTAAGAACAGTTTAACCAAACAAAAAACATCAGTCAATGTGTTAAGGAGTGTAATTTAACATACTAAAAAATAAAAACCATCAAAACAAAAGAACAAGGCCGCTTGCCCAAATTATTTATTTTTGATTTAAAAAAATTCCGTTTTTTTGTATATATTTCTTAATTTAATTTTTTTTAAGGATTTTATTATACTTTAAGGTAAATTATGTTATTTTAAAAACGATTTGCGAAAATATATAAAAATATTAAAATGCTTTCTTCTTCTTCTGCGATGTATTTTACAAAATCATTAATAATTCCTAACCTATAATAGTTGGTGACTTGAAATTTGGCAACAATGTGTAGATTTATGGTGCAAACGTCGCCATAAAAAAATATTAAAATCAAAATACAATTGGCAATTTTTTTCAAAAATTAATAAATTTTATTTTTTCACTGTTTTTAGATTTTTTCTATATAATGATATAATTTGTTTTTTGATTAACCAAAGTTGAGTTTTGGACTTTTGGCCAGCCCCAGACCACCTTGCAACCGTTAATTAAAAAAAATATATTTAGAAAAACTTATTATTATTATTATATTATTTCTATTATTAAGTAAAGTTTGGCCCAGCAAATCCTGACTATGTCCATTATTACCTCAAATCTAATTATATTTGTAAAAATATCATAAATTAAACTAAATAACATTGTATTGGACAAAAGAGAGCGATAAATCCACAATTTAAGGTATTTAAAAATTCTTGATATTCGAATTTATTTCGTCCGCGTCGTCTTCAACTTCGATATATTGTTTTTAACTGCCTCACTAATTCACTCTGTGACATTTTTATGTTTAGTTTTTGCTAGAAAGTTTGAAAGGAATTCCTGGAACACTAATTTATTTATTTTTGCTGCTAAAATCATATTAAAATCAACAATAACATCTCCAAGAGTATATTTAGAATACGCAGTGTTTTTATTGTCTTAAAGTCCTGTGATGTCTCAACTTAACTTTTCTGGTCCATTTGAGTTAGACTTAAGGGTTAAAAATTTAACCTGCACTATTTATAAGTTAAGTCAATGAATATCTTGATTTGAAGCCAAAAAAATTGCCGGGGGACTTAAGGGGGACATTGTTTTCTTCATTAATTCTATTACGATTCTAGGGGGTAAAATGCATGTAAAATACTAAAAAATTGTTCTTTTGGCATTTACCACATTTTACAAAATTGGCTTTAACAAACACCCTGTATATTTTTAGAAATATACAGGGACTCCAAGTAAACCTACAGCGTACAGAATTTGTTGTGTCTACAAAGGCTTGTTTACAAAAATATTTGTGCTAATTCGATTTCATAACGTTTTAACTCGTTTTAAAACCGACCAGGGTGGTCAAACATTTTTTATTGGAGTTTACAGGACTGTACTTGGGCAAAATTTGTTAAAAAAGAGTTTAAAAAAATATAAAGCTATAAACGTTAAACTTCTGACTTAAGATCGCAGTAGCCCAATTTTGCAATCTCATCATTAAAATGTTAAAATTCTTAATATTTCAATAATTTTTTAATATAATTAAGGTCACAAGGGTTATTTTTTAACAAAATCTGAATAAATAATAATAATATCAACAATTTAAACATTTTAAATTAAATGTCAAAGTTTAACAGATTTAAAAAATGCATTTGTGATCTTTAAGTTTTATTTCTTAAGGTCACGTTAAATTTTTTACTTAACTTTTAAGGCTGTTGCCAACTTTTGATATTTAAAGGTCACCAAACATGTTTGCAAAGTTATAGAGAAAAATTAAATTATAGGTTTTTGTATAAGGTTTCAAACGTACAAATTTTGAAATTTGTAGCCTTAAAAATCTTTTTCTTAAGGTCACAGCTTTCCAACTTTGCAAATTGTCGTAAAAGTATCAATAATTTTTATATATTTTTTTATTTTTCATTGCAATGTAAAAATTATTACTATCTCAATTATTTTTCTGATATAGGTAATTAAGGCCACAGAGGTTATTTTTTAACAAATTCTTAATAAATATCAATAATTTAAACATTACAAGTTACGTTTCAAAACTTAACATATATTTTAAGGTCATTTTCATTTTTAAAAATACCTTTGTGGCATAAAAATTTATTTAAAGGTCACAGCTGTCAAATTTTAATAATTAAGGCCCTTAGATCTATAATTTACACTCAAACAAAAAATTTTAATTTTAAGGCTATTGTTGTCAATTTTTTATGTCTAAACGTCACCAAAAATGGTTGTTAACATAAAAATTAAAAAAGCGTGGATATTTTTGTATAAGGTTATAAACCTTAAAGTGTTAACATATGTAGCCTTAAAAATCCTTTTCTTAAGGTCACAGCTGTCAAATTGTGCAAACTTAAAAGTATTACAATTTATATATTTTTGTAATCATTATTACAATGTAAATTTTTTAAATTTTTTATTATTTTTTGAAATATAATAAAGGCCACAAATGTTATTTTTTAACAATTTTTTTATATGTAAATTTATTATGCAGTCAAAACTGTATCAACAATTTAAACAATACAAATTAAGAGTCAAAATTGAACAGCTATTTAAAGGTCATTTGCATTTAAAAAAAGATGTCGCCTTAAATTTTTTTTTTCAAAGCTGTCAATTTTAAGGCCACTGTTGTTTAAATTTCACAAAAATGGTTAACATAAAACTTAAAAAATCGTGTATATTTGTGTATGAGGTTATAAACATTATAATGTAGCCTTAAAAAGCCTTTTCTTAAGGTCACAGCTGTTAAATTGTACAACCTTGTCACAAACTGTTATATAATTTCGAATTCATCATTTAATTGTGGCCCCTTAAATTTTATTTAACAAGGTTACAGCTGACAAATCTCGATAACTACAAATAAGGTCGTTGGATCAAAAATTAACACTGAAAAAAGTTAAATTTTAAGGCTATTGTTAAGTTTATTGTTTAAAGGTCATCAAAAACGTTTGTTAAGTTTAACAAAAAAATAAAAAATGTGTAGATTTACACATAAATATAGATAGTATTTAAGGTAATAAACGTTAAAAAATTAACATTTATGGCCTTAAAACAATTAATTAAGGTTATAGAATTAAAATTTTGACAACCTGACCTTAAAGGTTAACAGTAAAGAAATTAAAAAAAAATTAAAGGTCACAGGTTATTTAAAAAAATGCATTTGAAATATAAAATTTAAAAATAAATAATAAATAAAGTTTAACAGGAAAAATTCGCGTGATCTATATTTGACATTTGGGACCTTAAAAATTTTTAAATATATTTATTGTAACAAAACCACTTAAACATTTTTACATTTTTACAATTTTGACTACAAAATTTAAACTAAAAAAATTGTATTCTACTCACATTTTTGGTTGTTCCTTGTACAAAAAACTGGTGACTTGCACATCACTGGGCAGTGTATCGGAATTATACAACTCGTATGTGGGAAAATTGTTTTTGAAATCCTTATTCCTCTTCGATTTGTTTTCGCTATCAGTTACTTTAAAAATAATTAAAACGTGGAGTAGTAAAAATTTGTGTTTCACACTAAAATACATCTGAAATAAATATGAAATTATTATAAGTGATCCCAATAAGGGAATATTTTGTGGTTTGCCTTGTCGTGTGAAAATGCATGTTGGAATTGTGTTACAAATTTTGTAATGCTATATGATTTATTGGTTTGAATTACTTACGATTTTTACTGCGGAAAAGTCGAAAATACCGCACAAATTTTCAGCACCGAATACACGTTACGGTCTTAAGAGACTTGCGTCTCTAAGAGAAGCGCAGTTTCCCCTCCAGCGAGATTTTGCGCCCCACCTCCAGCGACTTGACGAAAAATTTAAACATTATCACGGTGTTTGAAGGCGTAATGCAAGGGTTTGTGAGTGTTAAAAATGAGAAGAGCTGTCAAATGGGCCAAAGAACGTTATAATCAAAGTGCCCGTCCATCAATTCCAACAAATTTTAGCCAAAAGGCCTATAATATAAGGCCGTAAACTTTTTTTACATATTAAATTACCATGCATGGGCGGACCGCCAAATTGTATGCCATTTTTACCTTAAAAATTGAGTTACTAACCTAGGTAAAATAATGTTTTTTTTTATAAAATGGTATTACATTAAATGTAATACCTTGTGACACATATTCTTTTACAAAATATCTTTGAAATTCTCTGTAAATTTTTTTATTGTTTCGACCTTTACTTGATGAAACTCCATGTCACTAATATATAACTGAATAAAAAACAAACACTGTTTTTGAGTTTCACGAATTTATTTAAATTTTATTTGACAATTGTTTCGCTAACACTGAAGATATTTCTGAAGAAGCTACAGTGTTAGCGAAACAATTTAAATAAATTCGTAAAACTCAAAAACAGTGTTTGTTTTTTATGCAGTTATATATATTACTCTGTAAAATTGTTAAATATGTTATAATGGGAACAAATTAAGGACTGCGGAACATTTTATTTTATACAATGCCTTTGAGGTTAGATACATCTGACAGTTGTCAGATTTTATGATAGTATACGAGAGGTAATTTATTAAAAAAAAATATATATAATTTGCTAATATTAGATTTTATTAATAATAATTGTATAGCTTTGGTTTGAAATTTGAACCAAAAAATGTTCAATAACATTTTTTTTTATTTAACTCTAATTAAACGTATTTGAAGTTGGTGGAACGCACAAAAACTGGCGAGGTAAAGGTTAATTTTTTTTTAATCTTTACAGTAAAGAAAGTTTCTTGAAGGAACTAAGAAAATTGCAGGGTTTTTTTCGTATACTATAGTATAATTACAATACCATCATTCTTAAATTACTAAATATTTTTAGTGTAATTTGTTCTACAAAATAACAATATTTGTATTGTAATATTGCGAAACGAATTTTCTTCAGTTCAGTAAAATTGTAAAATATATTTTGTAATTTTCTTAAACTGAGTTGAAATGAATTGTATAGTATAATTTTAAAAACATATTTAGTATTTTTTTGGCAAAATTACAATACCTGTATAGTAATGTGAACAAATTTTTAATAAATATTTCAACAAACGTTTTGTAATTTTCCCAAATTGAGTTGTAATGAATCGTGAAGTTAATTTACAAAACTGAGTTTTATTATTACTATATTTTGGTGCGAATAAACTTCCTAAACATGTTTAGTAAAATTACAATAGAATTTTTAAACAGTGTATAGTCAATTCCATTTTATTTGAAAAATTGACTATCTCAAAAACTGATCTACTTTTCCAACTTTTGACGACATTTTCGGATTCCGCAGACAATTTTACATAGGAATTGACTGTCTGCAAAAGCGGCCTAACTGAAAAAAAATCATGCAGATTTTTCTTGTTATTTTTATTATTATTATTATTTTAACGTGCTTCCAACAGGCACCAGGCCCAATTACAGTAGTACACACTGACACACACATTTTATATTTTTTAATATTTTCTTAACATTAATAGGAATTTTAAAAAAGTAACCTGTGACCTTTAATTTTTTACAAACTTCGACACTGTGAAACATTTAGGTCAAGTTATTAGAATTTTAATTCTGTAACCTAAATAAATTGTTTTTAAGGGCAGTAATGTTCATTCATTTTTTAAAATTGTCAATTTTTTAACGTTTATTACCTTTAAATGTATCTATATTTATGTATAAATGTACAATTTTTTTATTTTCTCGTTAAACGTTTTGATGACCTTTTAACAATAAATTTAACTATAGCCTTAAAATTTAACTTCTTTGAGTTTGAATTTTTGTAGTTGTCGAGATTTGATAAATACAATTTTAAGGCCGCGAAAACACAATGATGAATAAAAAATTATATAACAGTTTGTGATACTTTTAAAACAAGGTTACACAATTTGACAGCTATGACCTTAAAAAAAGGTTTTTTAGGGCAACAATATAACGTTTATAACCTCATACAAAAATATACACGCTTTTTTAATTTTTTTGTTAACAACCATTTTTTGTGTAATTAAAAAACAATGGCCTTAAAATTTAAAATTTTTGTTTGATTTTGAATTTTAGATCTAACGACCTTATATTGACAGCGTTGACCTTAATAAATAAATTTTAACGCCGCACATTTTTTTAAAATGTAAATGACCTTAAAATATCTGATCAATTTTGATATTTAATTTGGATTGTTTGAATTGTTGATACATTTTTGACTGCATAACACATATTACAAATAAAAAATTTGATAAAAAAAACGTATGATATGAAAAAGGAGTATAATTTGAACAGATAAAATTTTTTTCCATGCCTCAAATAATACGAGATTTTTATATGAAAAATCCTAGTAAATTATGGGTAAGAAGCCCTACAACTTTATAAGATCTTAAGCTTCGTACAGACCTAAACATTGAGCCGAACAACAAGCAGAACAACGAACCGAAAGGCAAACAGAACGGCAAATGGCCTTTTTTGATTTCGACGATCCGAACAACAAACGGAACGTTTGTGCTGTTCCCATAATTGCTCGTAGTAAATCTCAGTTAAAGTTTTACTGAAGATGAAAAAAGTGTAGCAGCAGCAGCTTATATATATATATATATATATATATATATATATATATATATATTCATTATTCCAGTGGCGTAGCGACAGTACCGCGAACGCCCGCCAAGCGGGGGGCCCTAACCTCGTAGGGGGCCCGGCCGATACTTGCCCCAAAACATTAAAATACTTATTTCCATCTTACTTATACTAAAAATTGAATAATAATGAATGATTAATTAAAAATATCATAATTTACTAAAATGTAGGTAGGTACTTGATATTATTGGCCTACCATCACAACATAAATGTAAAACATCTAACGGAACCTTTTGATGAATTTTAAAAATCGCGCTTATTTAACAATTGACAGCGGGTTTACGCAGGAACGATTCAGAACTTGGAAACATGCGCCTAACTCTAAACAGATATATACATATATTTAGTTATGCGTATTATTCTGACAGTTCTGAAGCGTTCTCTTTGCGAACCCCTAAAATTTTGACGATTGTGATTCACAAGTTGTTAGTTTGTTTTTGTTTTATATTCGTATTGGTTCAAGTACGTTCTTATTTGTGACTGCTTCTGATTATTTTATTTTTCCACTGTTTTACATGCGTTTCTCGCCGGTCAGCTGTAGTGAGCACAAAGTGGTCTAGTATTTACATGTAAGTATTTCTTTTATTTATTGGTTAGTTTAATATTATAGAGTTTACTGAGTAAATATTATTAACTAAATATACCTATTCAAGTATGCCTGATAAAATAATTATAGTTTAAGGTTATTTTTTTTATGTTAAAAAAATATGTTATTATTTTCTATTATTTTACTTATACAGTGGAGAACCTTATTTTTTTTTAAATTATTTTTTTGTTTCTTTTCGTTTATAAATAATTTAAAAAATCATGTCACCGGATGTATTATTTTTTATTTACAATATAAAACCATGTAAAAAATACCTGAAATCAGGGGACCCAGTAAGGATTTTCGCGGAGGGGCCCGAAATTTGTCGCTACGCCACTGCATTATTCATTATTAAATCAAAAGAAATTTTTTTTGATAAATATCAATTAGATCCAGAGATTTTTCTTCTGTCCACTCCATTTACTTGTGTTGAATTTTAATTATATTAAAATAAACAAACTCACTTAAAGGAGGAGACAAATAAACACTTAAATGAGAACAATTCACTGGTCTGTTCGCCGTTTTGTTTTGACCCGTCCAAACCTCCGAACGCATTTCCTTTGATGTCGAAGGAAAAACCGACAAGTGATGGGAACGGGACGAACGGTCAGGATTCGCGAACATGTTCGCAAACGCGTTCGCAGCCCCGTCCAAATTAGTGTTCTGTTTGCCGTTCGGCTTGTTGTTCGGTTCAATGCTCAAGTCTGTACGAGGCTTTAGCGATCTCAGTTTCGATCTGACTGAATTAATTCGGTTCATAAAAAATAAATCTTACCCTTTAATCTAATTATTCATACCTACCTAATCTTTATTTTTGTTGCTGTTTTTGTCTGTAATACTTTTCTAGTAAATTTAAGTTTCTATTTTTAGTAACCATTCCCAAAACAGTTTTATGCAAAAATGCATCAATGTCAAGCAATTAAAAACATCCAAAGAATATGATCTTCAGAGACATTTTAGTAAAATTAAAAATGTAGTGTAGGTATGGTTTGCATACGGGTCCGTTCCATGGTAAACTAATACTTGGTTATTTGTTACGTAATTTATTTGCGGGTGACTTGACCAGGTGTTCCTTGGTTTCGTTAATCCTTTGGAAGAGAAGTAAGAGATTTAATCGGAAACAAGAGAATACGTAGGAAATCGTACCATTTATGATGCTGTCAGTTTCTATAGGTGACTTAACTGTACTAATCATGAACGGGGATTTTTTTAACGAAAAAGCGTATATATTTTTTATTACAATTGTTACACATTTAATGTCTTAAATTAGCGGATTTCCAATGATTTTATTTGTAAAAATGTGAAAATGAATTCGCATCTTCATTTTTCTGTGAATTCAGTAGTCGGAAGTTGCGAAAGTTTTATCAACTGCCGACTAAAGCCGTCTGCAGCTGCAGCTAATGCCGACTAACTAAGGCTAATCAAATATGGTAGACGAAAGATTTTACTCATTTATTTCTGAAAAACTGCCAAACTAAATTTCAATGTCAGTGAATTTTTTAGTCGGGACTGAAGACTTAGATAAAATTTTGTTATTTATTCGTGAATTTTTTAATGCCGACTAATAAATTTGAATTCGATTGATTTCAGCTTCAATCAAATTGAAAATCAACAGAAAAAAAAGATGATGAATATCGATTTTTTTAATAAACGTTTTCACCGCTAAACTTTTCAATGCAGTAAACATCATCTCAATTACCTACAGAGCTCGAAAACTATGGTCTCTGTTTTCTGAACAATTAATTTTTTCCTGTGTCATCAGATACTTACTATACCGACACCTCGAAAATTTAGAAAACCATCATTTATTAAAAAAAAATAACTTAACCTTTTGAACGAAAGGTCAGCAAACCTATACGGATTAATATGTGTTTTAATTGTGGAAGAAATCTAATTATAAAATCTAATTAAAAAAAAAATATTTAAAAATAAAAATAACATCGAATAACTCTTATACAGGGTGTCCCGAAAATAGTATGCCACATTCTACAAGTGGTTTTTATGGGCAAAAATAGCCCCTGAATAAGGTTTTTATTATTATTATTTATTATTTCGGGACACAAGTATTTTCTTATTATTGATTCATGTTAAATTGAAAAATAAAACAAAATTTTTCTTCTTTGGTCATTGGTTATTTTATTTTTATTTAAAAATGGTGCATTTTATCGATGTTCAACAAGAGTGCCTTTTTTACGTAGAAACAAAGATGTGCATAGAGGAGAAAAATGTTTATTTTTAATTTAACGACAGAAATTCATTCCTTAAAAAAATCTGCTTGTCAAAAAAATGTTTTTACCATAAAAAAATCAGATCAGATATACTGGGTGTTAATAAATTGGGAAAACATAAAAATGCTTAAGGAGAGAAGTATCATTTTTTTTTATTGTTTTTGACCAATTTTATTAAAAATATTGTAAAAAAAATGGTTTATCAAAAAAAAAATCAGACCAAATATACAGGGTGTTAAAAAATTAGGAAAACATAAAATTGCTATTAAAAATAATAATAAAAAAAAATTTAGATGCATTTTATATTTTCTCAATTTACTAAAACCCTGTATATTTGATTTAAATTTTTTTAAGGTGAAAATATTTTTCATAAATTATGAACAAAAATAAAATAATTGCTAATAATTACTAATCTCTTGAAGCATTTTTATGTTTTTCTTATTTATTAAACTTTTTATGGTTAACCTATTTTTTTGACAATAGGTACTTTTTATTTTATCAAAAATAATAAAAAACTATACTTTTCTTCTCAAGCATTTTATGTTTTCCCAATTTATTAACACCCTGTATATCTGATCTGATTTTTTTATGGTAAACACATTTTTTTGACAAGCAGATTTTTTATAAAAAATACCTTTTTTTCGTAAAATTAAAATTAAAGGTTTTCCTCCTCTTGTCAACTCCTTTCAGTACACACTGTATAAACATATACAATAATGCAAGATGAATTACTGAAGGTTGAAAAATTCCCAGATTCTGGTATTTTTTGAAAATTTGGCAACAACGTTAAATAGATAAATATTTGACAACACCGCCTAAATATAAGAATAAATTTGGAAACGTCACAAAAATTGAAAAATTTTCTATTAAAAGGGTTTTGTACGTATTTAAAGATATTTCGCTAATTTTTTTTGGATTTTTTGCCCGATAGATGTCATTTTTAAAAATTTGACGATTTTTTTTAATTGACCATAATTTTTTAAAAATTTATCTTTTTGGAAATTTTTTTGAGGATTTTTCTCAAAAAAGTTTAAGCTTGGTTCCACCATGGGCAAACTGTTTTTTTTTCTTCGATTTTTTACATTTTCGAAAATTTTGAATGTAGTTATAAATAAGGTTTTATCAAAAACCTTATCAGTTCAGAAATGCAGTAGTTTTTGATTTTTTAGCATTCTTATGATAATTAGTTGATAATGGCACCACAGTCCACTAATTTACCGAATATAGGAATAAACTATTTATTCACCAAAAAGAAGAATTACATAAATTGTTTAAATGACAGAACAAATATATAATTATATTGAAAATATTAATAAACAAACTTGTTTTTTTTTATTTTTTCCAAAAGGTAACAAATTTATTATGGAACTTGCTTCTTCTTAAAAATTATCCGCTAAAATTTAATAAAAATTAAATTAAATTAAAAAAATTGAGAAAAATTATCTTAAAAACTAAAAATATGGGTAATTAAACAAAACATTATGACAACACAAGCAAATAATTTTTTTCAATTCGAATTTCAAGATAAAAAAAGTATTTTAATTAAAACGTTAACACACTAAGGCGCCAAAAAGACCATTTAAAAGGTACGCAAAGTGTCGCAGACAGCGCCCTCTACAACCTACATTATTTTTTTAAGAAACTACTGTCCTGAAAAAAACGAATATTGCATTATGTCGGTCTCAGAAATTTGTGATATTATTTTTACAAGCATTTTAGGGACACATTGTGTATATTTATAAATGGCATTCCATGCCAAATTTACCTATAAAATGAGTTTGCATCTGCAATTATAATTTTTAATTAATCTCTCCTCTACCGTTTGTTCGGATGTAGGTAGGCAACCCAGATTACAAATCGATGCTCACTTATTGTCGGCTTTAAAAGTTTAATACAATTTTAAAAATACCTACATCAATAAAAACATATTTAGGGAAGTTTCTTCCATACAATTTTACATACTTTTTAAAGTTCTAGCAAAAAGGGAATAAGGGTAAAATAAAACATGTTTTTGATTTTTTTCACGAAGCTTTATTTAATTTTATTCAACATCATCAAAAACTAAGCCTAACTATATATCAAATATCTATTTTTATATGTACCTACATATTTATATTACAATGTTTCATACACCTCGTACGTTGGCAAGAAAATTTTATAATTTTTTTTTTATAAAATTTTCTTGCTTCTCTATCTATACTCTTGTGTGTTTTGTATACTGTATTATTTCGTTTTTTGGTATACATTTTTTTATATTATTTTTAAATAAATATATTTGGATATTGTTTATTTACCCTGTTGTTTATTTTTAATAAAAAATTTACTTGAAATTATTGAAATAAGGTACGAGGTGCTACTTTTTACTCTTAATAAAACTATTGATTTTTTTTACAAATTGCACCATATAGATAGATTGCAACATCAATTTTTTATACACAAAATGCCAGGGTTTAGTTCCATTTTTTGAAGAATTTCGAAAATTCTTTAATTTTTACAAATCTTAATGCCCAATTCATAATAAAAATTCCAAAAACAACGTATATTGCACATTACACTAACAATAAATTTACAAAAGAAAAATAATAATGAGTATTATTTGGTACTTTTTAATTAATTAATAATCAATTTAATTAAATTAAACAATACCCTGCATATCAACATATATACTTTAAATATTGTCTATTTTGTGCCTGTGTGTTTAAATAATAAAGATAATAAAAAAATAAATAATATATCGAAAAAAATATTCCGTGCTTTACTATAAAAGTGCTCTCGTTATAAAACTAAACAAATTAAATAAGGAACTATAAAAAAATCATACAATTAATAATACTTTATAGGAATGTCTGTTCGTTTGTGGGACATATTTACAACTTAATTTAATACCAGCACCATTTTATTTATCTGTCAAGGAATGCGCATAAACGTCAAAAACGCTTAAATCGCGAAGTAATGTCAGTTTATAGTCAAAAAAACACACAGAAACGTCAAAGTCGACCTTGAAAATGAGCGTCAAGGTCGCGAATGTCAAACTTTGTATTTTTTCACTAAAAACTGTTTTATCATAAAATCAAACAAAAAAAACAAAGGAACTAGAAGCGAAAACTAAAAATTAAGCAAAAATCAAGTGCACAACCATGTTTTTTGAATTTGTACCTACATGTAATAAATAAATAAGAAACAAAAATAGTAAAAGTGTAATATAATAATAATATTAATAAATACGAATAGAAAAACAGACAGTTTTAAAAAGTGGTAACACAAATCTCACTAACTAAAAAAAACTGTCAAAAATCGATCGTTCTCGATTTTTGACAGCTTTCAACTATTATAACCTAACAAACTCAATCGCCCCAACACGGGGCGATTTTTTATCACATTTTAAAAATTCTATTTGTAATTTTATTTAATAATAATAATACTTTGCAAATTACCGCCTAGATTTTAAAAATAAATTATCGAACAAACGAATTTCGATTTTCCATGTACATTGGTGGACCAAAGTATTGCACTGCACGTACACCGACGGACAAAAGTAATGCACAATCGAAATTCGTCGGTTTTTTTGGCTTACATAATTTTTTCCGACTAACAAGCAGCGTGATTTTTTTTATACGAAAAAAATAATACCATTAATTTCTAGTGATGTGTCTTAAAACTTTGTATTGTTTTAGTTTAATATTATTTATTGATTAATAATTTTGAAACTGCAAGTTTGTTTGAACTTTGACAGTACCCTGAAGGAAAAACGCCGAAATTTAGACTGTTTTGGCATTTCAAAACGTCAAATGTGATAATTAAAAGGTCAAACGCCAAATTGACATTGTTGACCTTGTAGATGACTTTTAAGGTCAAATTTCGACGTTTTATTTCGAAAAAACAGTTGCGGGTCTGCCAGACCCAAGAGCAAATAAAAGTCTTATTCATAGTATTTCTAATAAAAAAATTGTAAAAATATATTTTATCATTTAACTAGATTGTTAGATGTAAGCGGTTGATTTACTTGCAGCCAAAATTCTTTTAAAATTTTTGAGAAAGAGAAAATTTTGTACAATGCCCGTATACCTAGTTTTTATTTTGCCTAAAGTTATTTTTTTTACACCGATTTTACACTTATTATGTAAAATTCGTATTATTACACCGAAACTACTAATTTTTTTACCTGTATGATTTAGAATCTTATTATAGATTATACACCAAACATATTTTTTTGTACATATTGATTTATTTATTTAAAATTTTATCCTAAAGGCTTTTTCTTATATTTTGTCCGGTAAATGATGGTGACCGCTTTATTTTTTTCAACATCTCTCAAATTTGCCAAAATGGTGTGAAATCAAATAATAACTATTGTATAAAAATTGTCTTTACTCGTTAGGGTCGGTTTTGAGTTTTTATGCTTCCAGCTTTTATATTAATAAAGAAAAATACCTAAAAATGTAATTTTGTAGAAATAGAGTTTTTCTTATGGGGTCACTTCAAATCTGTCGTCTACAAAACTTGGCCTTATTCTACTGAAGTGTTGATAATTGTTGAACAATTGTATTTTTTATGATTTTTTGTTTATTTAACTTTTATTCGAATTATTTTGTTATTATTTGTTTTTCAATATCGTTTGTACGACTTTTTTGTAACAAAATGCTTTGGTTTGATATTTGTAACGAGAAATTGGAATAAAAAATGAGGTATCAGAAGTGGGATGTTGCAATTTAAAAACATTTTTAGGGTTTTTTTGTATCAATTTAAGACTCTGGGAGCATAAAAATTTAAAAACGACCCTATTCAGGACCATCCTATTACTTATTTATCTGTACTATAGGGTTGTATTTGTGTATGGGATATATAAAAATTGCAGATCTCATGATCAAAAATATATTTATTGTTGAAAACTGTATGTATGTTTCTATAGACTGTATACTGTACAAACTGTATTATCATGTAAAAACTCTAATATCGCAGCAAAGTGAAGTAATGCAAATAATATTTCTAAAACATACCAACATATGATAGATTTCAGAATATTATTTGTATTAGAGGAGTAGTCATTGAACAAAAAACCTTTGTATATAGAATATTCAGTAAAATATTTGGTAAAAATCTGTATATGAGGAACTGTATATAAGTGGTATAGTAAAAAATAAAACTGTTATAATATGTAGTTTTAACCCATGTGGATTATTATAGTTGAGTTGGCAAATTGATAAAAATCAGTCTTATTTGACAGAAAAATTCCAATTAATTATTTACACCGGATTAACCCGCTCACCAATCCATAAAAATTATCAAATTCCGTCGAAAAAGGTGAGCAGTAATAATAATAATAATAATAAATCAGGAAGCACGTTAGCTTAGTCTAATAACAACAAAATCACTTTTTTCAATCATATTTAGCCTTTGTAATATACATTTTCCTATTATATGATTACTTACGAATCCCCCCATGTCTGGACGCCATCTATGTTACATTGCACGTACTAGCGGCGTTTAGCGCGCCATCTATGTTCAGTCCTGCCCGTTCTGTTGAACTAGTTCGCGGCGGTCGTCGAAAGAGGGCGCCGGCGGCCTGAACATGTCATCGCCGTCTTCGATGTCTTTTTTACAGTCATCTTCGGGGTTTGGCTGCTGCGAAAAGTGCTCGCGCGTCTTGTCGCCTTGCGGCAGCAGGTGTATCATGCTCACGGGTATAGGGAAGCCGGTACCAAAGTCGGGGTAAAAATTATGCGCGAACGGGTTGAAAACCGGCGGTTGATTGTGGTCCGAATGCTCCGTACTACTGGGCCTCGTGTTGGGTTGAATCTCATCCCTCTCACTTTTGTTATTGTTGTTGTTATTACCACCTGTCATACCTATAGATTCAAAAAAACAATGTTAATGTTAATGTTAATCGTGCGTTTTTTCAAAATAAATTTACCTAATAAGTCCATGGAAGGGTTTGGCCCGCCTATACAGTCTTTCCTTAATTGTTCCAACTTCAAACTTTTGCCGTACTTTCCCCTCACGTACATTAACAGCGAGTTGTAAGGTATCCCGAATATTCTCGAAGCCTGGCTGGTCGTCATTTTTTTATTCCACACGTGCTGTAAAGCTTCCGTCAATTCGGCGTTCGTCCACGACCTTGGTGGACCCCCTCGTGGTGCAGAATGCTGACCTTTTGGTCTTCCCACTAAAAAAAAATGGACCATGAAGATTTTTGTGTCAAACAACATTTTTGAAGCAAAATAGTGGCTTTAGTTATTATGGGGACCATCAAGAACTGGTAGAAGAAGAATGGCCTCCCAGATCTAGAGATTCAACACCATTAGACTTTTTCTTATGGGGTCACTTCGTATCTGTGGCTTTCAAAACTCAGCCACATTCTATTGACTAAATAAGGTGTTTTGATAATTGTCGAACAATTATTTTTAATATGATTTTTTGTTTATTTAACTTTTATTAGAATTATTTTGTGTTCTCCAGTTTTTCTTTAATGTTTTTACGACTTTATTTGCAACAAAATGCTTTCCTTTAATATTTGTAACGAGAAATTGGAATAAATAATGATGAATCAGAAGTGGGATGTTGCCATTTAAAAACATTTTTTTATCAATTTAAAAGCGCATAAAAATTTAAAAACCCTATTATTATCAGCTACATTCTTTTGACAAAAGTTTTTTGATAATTGTTGAACAATTATTTTTTGTTTATTTAACTTTTATTAAAATTATTTTGCGTTCTCCAGTTTTTCATTAATGTTTTGACGAATTTATTTGCAACAAAATTTAATATTTGTAACAAGAAATTGGAATAAATAATGATGAATCAGAAGTGGGATATTGCCATTTCAAAACATTTTAAGGGATTTTTTTATCAATTTAAAAGCGCATACAAATTTTAAAACAACCCTATTACATATTTATCTGTACCGTATTGTGCGAATGTGAATATAATATATATCTAAATTATTTTAATTTAACACTGCTGTGACAATTTTGCCGGTTATTGCGACTAATTTACACTAGGACAAAAAGGTAACCCTTCTAGACTGGCATGTAAACTCACCGGACATTAATCCTATTGAGAATTTGTGGGCTATATGCAAGGAGAGGTTTCTAAAAATGAATTCTACAACAAAAACTAAGATGATTGAGGTATCGTTTCGAGATTTTAGAAAATTGTAAAACATTAATTAATTCTATGCCAAAACAAGTTAAAGCTTTAATAAAGGCAAACATTTTTTATTTCAATAAATAATATTTAACGTAAATCTATTTGTGTTCACATTAATTCACACGATACTGTACTATAGTGTATGATTTATAATCTTATTATAGATTATACACCAAACATATTTTTTTGTACATATTGATTTTTTTTATTTAAAATTTTATTCTAAAGGTTTTTTTCTTACATTGTGTCTGGTAATTGATGGTGGCCGCTTTATTTTTTTCAACATATCTCAAATTTGCCAAAATGGTGTGAAATCAAATATTAATTATTGTATAAAAATTGTATCAACTCATTAGGGTTATTTTTGAATTTTTATGCTCCCAGCTTTTATATTAATAAAAAAAATACCTAAAAATATAATCTCTCTATAATAGTTCCGCAAGTGCAGAAGTTCTGCATTTTTGTCGCATCCGCTTCTGCATCTGGTTCCGTATTTTTATATAATAAAATTCTGGAAATTTTGAAGAAATTAAAACTTTTGTTAATATCAAAAATCTTATAACATGTTGACAAAAACTAATATTTTGGTGAAGAATTGAACGCTCTACAAAAAAGAGAGGGAGGAAATAGTTTAGGATGAAAATGTATAACATTTTCAGCAAGACCTCATCATGTGGTACTGGATCAGAATTATCCAGAATAGTGGACTTTTTCTTATGAAGTCACATCAAATCTGTGATCTACAAAACTCAGCCTTATTCTAATGGAGATCAGTGACAAATAATAGTTCAAGAATGCCTAGCAATTTCACGAAAAACATTTCAAAATGCCCTCGTATATCTAAATGGAACAAGTCGTAGTTAACTTACTACGATTAAACTTACAAAATACGTATTTGTATTAACACACGGGGCAATTTTCCAATCAATATAGGCAATAAAAAGACATCTCAATTCACTGGACTATTAACCTATAATTTATCAAACTACATGTATTGTAGGTAATAAAATAGAAGGATACAACACGATATTACAGCCTAGTGAATTATATATCAAATTGTACTCACTTTTCTTTTTGGCGTACATCTGGGGGTCGGGTGTGGTACGGGGGTCAGTCATGTCGAAGAGGGGGTTCCTGCAACCGTCCAAACCTGGCGGGAACAGGCCCAAATGAGAGTCGAGACCGAAAACTGGAAAAAACGAGGCTTGGTCAGTTTTTGCCCGGAAGTCGTCCTCGCGCGGCTTACATTTGCTATGAGGCGGGGTCATGGCAAGAGCTGACACGCTGGGCATCGGCGGAAACGGAAGCGGCGAATGACTCTCGATCTCCTGCTTCATCAAGCTCTGGTGGCTCATAGAGAACTCCTTGTGGTGTCCAAAGTCCATGTCCGGGGATTGAGCCGGTTCGGGGGATCTGCTTTTCACTTCCTCCTTGATTTTCTGCTGGGGTTGTTGGTCTTCCTTGGGCGTTTTCTTCATGCATAAATTCTCGGCGGTTTCTTCCACGTTCGCTTCTTTTTGGAGGGATACTGATAAGTCCTGGGCCCCGCATAATTCTCCCGACCTGCGTCTAGGTCTGGCTTGCTTGCGGCGCGGCAGAGGCGAGTGGCATTCCCTTGCTGGAGGTATGGTTTCGGGGAAGGACAGCCTGGACATGTGCGGTAGCTTCACCGGAGGTTCGTAGCTGTTGTTCGACGGTACCGGCGAGAACGGGGAGGTTCTATCCCCCCCGGAGGTTCTAACCGTAACCCCCGAAGATGTGAACCTGCTGCTTTGAAAGTAGTTCCTGTCGTAGTCGTTTGGCGAAGCACTGGGGGTTGGCGTTTGGTTGATGATGGAGGATTCTTTGTCCACGCCGAAGGGATCTTGATTCGCCAAACCTCTCACTTGCAGGCTCTCGGCCGCCTTGATGAGGCTCTGCAGTTGCTCTTGTATGACGCTGATCTCTCCCTTGTACATGAAATCGACTATCGCTTGCACTTCCCAGCCATTGAAGTCCTTCAGGACTATCACTGGGTGTTTACAGGGGTTCTCCGAGAATATCCTCTGGAAAAAAGGCGAGCAAGCGCTCAGGACCACCTTGTGGGCCCTTACGGAGGTTTCCGCGCAAACTAGCGTCACGTCTACCAGAGTTTCCGCTTGCAGTAGGGCATCAAAAGCCGCCAAAATGTGGGTCTGATGATTATTCCACCTCAGGGAGTAATGCGATTGAGTCATTTTTATATACTTATAATCCTTTGATTGTATCACGCTGTCATTTCATAATTTTGAATTTCTGTAATACAAAGTTTCACGTCAGTAAAACACGGCAGTAAGAATGTCAGGGGGTGGTTCGCCCTTATATGTGAACTCGCAAATCATGTAAAACAATTAAAGTGAAATAAACTCATACAATAGTCACGCATATGTGGATCGCATGCAAGGAAATTTGTGATGTGCGTGTGTATAAAACGAAAAGGTAAAAGATAATGACTGTTTCTTACGTTGTAGAACATTTTTCTTACCCCTACGACACGATATGTTAGAAACGTACAAAATTCTAATGAGGTTTTACGGTACGAAAATGAAAATTTAAAACATGTATGGTGGAGTATGAAATATTCCCCCTATGTCTTTGATTATAAAAGAGGGTAAAATTTTAAGTACTTACAATTTTATCAACACATTCAACACTATACTAAGAATTACTATGAAGTTCACCATCTAATATATCTTCACAATAGGTATAAGTAGAGGTATATTTATTTTAATGCATTCAATGTATTCTACCTCTGTATATTTTACCTCATATAACGTAAAATTGACAAAATAAGAGTGTTATCAAGAAAACATGAACTCTATTATCGTAAAATTAAATCAGGTATAGTTGTAAACTATAGAGGCAAAAGTTTGTTTTATCAATTGATCTGATGTAATAAAAATATTATGTTAAAATTTATAATACAATATTATCGCGATAAAAGAACTTGTTAATGGCATTTCTTTTAAAATGATTTTATATAACTTTATATTTATCATTTAATAATACTGTAATGAAATTGACTTGTTTATGGAGTTTTACAAGTTTACAGACGTGACAATATTTACGCGATTTTCTTAACTTATTCAGATTTTAATTGACTTAATTTCCTATAATGACGATTTTAAAAATGTCTTTGGAAACTTTGTTTAACTTTAACTAAAGCAATTTTTAAGATTTTCACAAGATCTTTTTAAGATCTTGTGATTGTTTTGAAATTTGCAACGATTAAAAAACGTCATTTAAACTTTACTTTACATCAAAATAATGTAAATCTTAGTAACCTGAATAAATTTCATATTAATTGTTTTAAAATTGTAAAAATTACTGCATTAAAAACGTTTTTTTTAAATCAACTTATTTTTTATTGCAATAAAAAATAAGTTGATTTTAAAAAACGTTTTCAATGCAGTAATTTTTACAATTTTAAAACAATTAATATGAAATTTATTCAAGTTACTAAGATTTACATTATTTTGATGACATTTTAGTCTGTTAATTCCTTAAAAACCTTTTTTAAAATGAACTTATTTTTTATAGCAATTTGCAATAAAAAATAAGTTGATTTAAAAAAACGTTTTTAATGCAGTAATTTTTAGGATTTTAAAACAATTAATTAGAAATTTATTCAGGTTACTAAGATTTACATTATTTTAGTCTGTTAATTCCTTAAGGTATTTTACCATACAAACTAATTGAAATACAGTGGTAATGATAGTGTTGAGAAAATTTTTCAACTTTGATAATCCTCGGCCTGACAAGCTTAATCGTAATTACTCACCCCGTGAGGTTTTAACTAAGTTTAACAATTTGATCGTGGTTTTTCTGATTGAGGTATTTTTGCAATGACAAGATAGGACGTTTGGCGGGAAATGATAGTTGAAGATCAGCACGTGAATTGAAGCGCGCGCCTCTCCTTATTGTTATTGCAGAAACACATGTTCGGTGGTAACACAACAAACAAACACAAGACGTAAAAATAAAACTTTTTTAGCGGACGAGCCGCGAGCACTGAGATCACATATCGGGGGCGAGTGTGGCACTGACATATCACACATGTGTGGAGGATGTGTGTAAAGGCTTTGGAGCAGAGTAGGGGTGGTTGAGTTCGCGCACCTTTAAAGTCGAGAAGTTGCGTGGCGGAGTCTCTGGCTGAGGAGATGTTGACGACCGGGTTAAGTGTCCGACTGAATTCAAAAATATGCGGAGTCGAAATGGACGGCATAATTCCCGGATCCCCGTTAATGAATCCGATTAGACAAAGCCTGCGAACGGAGGAGGACGCAAGCGCTCGCCTCCCCTCAAACTAAGAATCCCCCCCGCTTCGCGTCGCGTCTTACTGTTTTACCCTTAGATATAAATTAAGGGGCGTCCTGCACTTAGAATCACACACTACCCCCACCCTGACGGGCCAGCCGACCACTAATTACTCTAAAAAAGGACGCCGCTACCTGCTACTCTCTCCGTCCGTTTTGCATAAATGCATCCAGAAATCATCCGGCTTTCTTTTCCAACGACGCCCTTCTTTTCACCCTTCATACACAATCTTTCTTGCTCTTCTTATTCCCTTTTTCTTATTTTGTTTCGTCTCTAAACAAAATTCAACCCCTTCCTCCTCCTCTCCTCCTCCTTCTTCCTTCTCCGCCAAGTTACTCATTACAATTCCATCTTACGTAGTCGCGACTACCTTTCCCACCATTCCTACTAATTTATTTCTTGTTTTTCTTTTATCGACATACCTAACTGTCTATAACCAGGATTTTTTTCACTCGATTTATGCCAAATTTTCACTCTTTATGTCGCCGCATAACAAAACCGACTTTGGATAACAGTTTTTACGATTTTGACAAATTGGCGCCCACCGTTGCAAACTTAGTGCCACCGAAACGCGATTTAAATAAACATTGTTTCCACGACAGTTTTTAAATACACATTAATGACGCTTTAGTAACGGGCTGAAGTTAGTTTTAAGTTTGACGTAAAACTTTTTTAAAGTTATTTACCTAATAAGTTTTATTTATGTTATTTTTACCTATTTTATTAACCCTTAAGTTTTAACAATATAAAGTATTAAGAGGGACGTAATTGCTACGAAAGAAAATTACTTATAAGTGTATTTCACCTAAAGGAAAATTTAACGGTAATTTTAACGTCAGAATTTTTACTTAATGGTAAATTTTACTCATAAGTCGAAATTTTACGATATTAAGACCACTTTGTAACCGTAAATAATTCCTATTCGCCTGGTATTTTTCAGGGTTATTAGTGGTAATAAATACTATTAATATTGACTAAACAAGGAAAACTAAGCTCAAAGTGAAAAATAAAACTTTAAGGGTCAGGTCGCTATAATGAGTTTTTAAGGTGGCATTCATTACTTATCTAAACGTTTATATAATATTTTTTCATAAATATTTTTCTAAAATATACCTAATAAGGAAAGTTTTAGTTATTAAAAAATGATAAAAAACTAAATGATTTTTAAAAGATTTTATAAAATTTTGTAGGTTTTAAGTTTTGTTAAATTTTTACCCAAGCAAACAGTTATTTTTACGTTAATTGGTTGTATTTAAATTGTTTTTATTACGTTATTCTCTTAGTAGATCAAAAAGGTTATTATGTAGGTAAATAACGAAATAAACCATACCCCAAATTTGGTAATTTTTCGCATCTATACCGTTATAAAACCGTTTTGGTTAACCGTAAAAAATACTTTAAAGTTGACTTAGTAGTAAATTTGTAGTTATTTAAACTTAAAATGCTGCTTCTATGTCAATTGTTAGTCTATTTTCAAGGGATAAATTTTGATTTACACAGAAAAATTTGAGATTAAACTCCGGTAGATTCCCAAGTTAGAAATTCTAACGGGAATTCCAATAAATACAACTGTCACTTTTTCTACCTTTAACATTTCCCGTGTAAGAATTTTGAATGCTTAAAAAAATCAAAGGATTATTAATTTTTTTAAGTTATTTTTATAATTTTTATAATAATTGTTAAGTTTAATTAAAATAATAACGGGCAATGCTAATGGTGAAAATTACGTCAAAAATGTTTATTGGGATGGTTACTTTATTTTCGTATAGATTTTGCTTTATACCAATATTAAAATTAAATTATTTTTAGATAATATTAAGTATTTTTCGTAGAAAACACTTATTTAATTCAATAACATTAGTGACAAAAATGGCATTTATCAAACTTGATACATAATATACTATTAAAACATACACTAATAAAAATTCATACAAGAAATTTAAGTCTTAAAATTATTTTTGCAAAATTTGCATTTAATGTCAAATCTGTGAAAATCATTCATTCATTCATTATACTGACGGGCCAAAACAAATGCATCTGAAACGCTTGAACGAGACATTTTCTGGTGGCCAGCGCGGTCCTAATTGGTTATTTTATAAAGTTATTCGTTTTGGAATTTGCAAAAATTAAATTACATCAAAATAATGTAAATCTAAGTAACCTCAATAAATTTCACATCAATTGTTTTAAAATTGTAAAATTACTGCATTAAAAACGTTTTTTAAAATCAACTTTTTTTTTAATGCAAATACTACTCCTTAAGAGTTATTGTTTTATTTTTGTACAAAAATAAAATTGTATCTACTCTTACATTGAAGTAAGCGACAGTGGCTTTTGGGCTTTTTAGTCACGGGCCGAAATAAGCTTTATTATAAATTGGAAAAAAGTGAGGTTAAACCCCGCTTAAATACAGTTGTCAGAATCTGATAACTGATATCAAATTTTTAACCAATAAAATACCAAAGTATTTCATTATCTCTCAGGTTGTAAATATAATTTAGACCAACCAGGTGAAGTTTTTTACATCCTTGTCTGTAAAAATCGCATTTTTATGATTTTGAAAAATTTTCCTTCCAAGCCTCCTTCCTTACAAAACGCGATTTTAATTTTTTCAATTTAAAAGGTGTAGTTATTACAAAAAAATTGTTATAAAATGCACGAAAACAGTTTACTTAACAAAAAGAACTAACATTTTTTCCACATAAACTATTCCCATTAAAACCGCTGAACCATTTCTTGCACAAACATTTTTTGTTTTTCTGACAACACACAAATTCCTGAAACGTTTTACGCGAATTTTCCCTTCAATCTTGCACCCTTTATACCTGAAATTCTTCGAAAGAAAACGAAAGTCATGCATAGATAATAAAAAACATCATAAAAATTAAGATCCTACCCTCCGATACCGTACCTAGAGGTTTATAGTGTTGTTGTTATGGTGGTATGATTGGTTTTAGTGAGAAATGTTAATTGCTTTCATTAAAGTAGGCGTTTTAATGGTATTTTAATACAATTATAAGGTTTTTAAATAATTTTGATTTTTCTATTAGTTGATTTACAAAATTGACATTTTATAAACAAAAATTGTTATTTTATAGAAAATGACATAATTTAATTAATATATGTTAGGCGCAATACCAGAATTCGGGCACGCGCGCGGAATT